GCAGTGATTCTCCAACGGGGCTGCACGTGTACAATAACCTGGGGAGCACTGAAAAATCTGGAAGCCCAGACCACGCCTCAGCCCAATAAATCAGTTTCTCTGGGGTAAAAGGCAGGCCCAAGTATTTTAAAGCTTTCCAAGTAGTTCCAAAGTGCTGCTGAGTTTGAAAGCTACCTCTCTACTTAAAACTTAAGGCCACGCCCTGAAGACTGCCTGGACTTCGTGTTTGGGTGGAGTGGACTTCTGAGAAGACCCTCCAGACCTTCCAGGATGTGATATTTTATTATAGTCTCCCCCCGCCAAAATTCCCATCCCCAACCTCGAAAGCCACGTGGAAGGGGCTTCACCGATTGCAAAGCGTGGCAGCCACCTACCTTAAGGCTGCAGGCTCCCTCCTCTAGAGAAGCCATTTCTTCTAGAAAGGCGTTGGCAGGACGCGGAGGGGATCCCCCTGACGACGACAGGAAACCCCGAGTGCTACGAATCAGGCAGCCTTTGGAGGCGGCCCCGCCCACACCTGGGCCCAAGAAACGAGGGGAAGAGGAGGAGTTATTTCTGCGGCGGGATGAGCCCCAGGATAACCTCCGCGAGCAAGCCAAGTCGTCCTCCTTCTGAGCTTTCAGGCGCTTGGGGCTGCCAGGCCCTCCCGAAAGCCACGCAGAGCTCTGAGTTGGCCGGCTGGAGGGGGCCACATCACCGGGCTCCCGGAGGCAGCTGCGCTTGCTGGGACACCCTTCCGACGTGCTGCTCCAGTTGTACTTGACCTTGCGCCCCTCGGACGCCATGGGCACCTGCAAGGTACAGGGAGCCTGGATTCCAACTCCACCCTTCCTGGCCGCCCCACCTTAGATTCCCGCCACCCCGGACCCCGGGGAGTGCAAGCCACAAATGCAGAGCCAGGGTTTGGCTTCACTGACCTTTCACTCTTCTTTCCACTGCCCATCACAGTTCTCAAGGTTTCAGAGAGGCCAAACCGTGTTGGAGAAATCAAAACGATTCAAAATTTACTAAAGGCTTCCGTTGGTTCCCAAGCCCACAACGTGCTTCTGAGATCACCCACCGCTTCACTTTGTAAAACGCTACTTCGGAAATGCCTAAGCGCTTCCGGGGCTACAAAGTGCTTTGATCAGTTTGCAATATAAAGCCCTTCAGAACTGTCAAAGCGCTTCAGAAGACCACACGGCGCTTCAAGGTCCACACATGGCTGCCATACCCGCAGCCCAGGGGCCCGGCGCTTAGCCCGGAGGCCAGGGCCAGACCCGGCGCCGCAGCCCGCCCAGCTCCTGCGGCCCGACCAGCCCTGGGCCGGAAGGGGCCCGAGCTGCTCCTCGGGAGCTGGCAGCGCACCCGTCTGCCGACTCAGGACGGCCCGCCGGGCTGCCGCCGCTGTACCACCGGGCAGCTCGCCGCCGACCCCAGCCCTACGACCCAGCCCGCCTGGCCTCCGCCTGAGCTGCGACCACTCCGGCCTCCTCAGCTTCCGCCCTCCGGAACCAGCCCTGCGGCCCGCAGGCCGGAGAGCGGTGGGGGCGGAACCTGCGCCGAACGGAAGGCGCCTATTGCTCTACTCGCCAAGGGGCGGGACTCCGAGAGAGATGGAGCCCGCCTTTTGGCCAAGAGGCTTGGAGGCGGGACGGTACGCCTTAGGAACTCGTCCATTGGTCAGAAGCCAAATAGGGCGGAGCCGCTCACGTGGGCTACAACAGCGGGAAGCTGAGGCCAGCCGGAGGTGCAGGCAGGCGGCGTCTGCAGACTCGCCTCACCTAACGCTGTTCGCCTCAGTACCCGCCCCTGTGCCGGACGCTTTCAGACCTGAATTCGCACATCGAACCCACGCTAAACCATGTGTGCTGAGCCTTATGACCCCACATTATAGAGCAGAAAACTGTGGCTCAGAGAGACCAAGTGAGACACCCAGAAAGGAGAAGAATTAGAAGCCACGGAAGAAAAATAAAGACCACAAAAATGTGGAATATCCATCTGGTGAAAAATACTAAAGACAGCTGGGCGCGGTGGCTCACGTCTGCAATCCCAGATCTTGGGAGGCGGAGGTGGGAGGATGGCTTGATCTCGGGAGTTCGAGACCGGCCTGGCCATCATGGTGCGATATCTACAAAAAAATTAAATTAGTTGGGCGTGGTCCCAGCTACTCAGAGACTGAGGTGGGAGGATCACTTGAGCCCCGGAGGTCCAGACTGCAGTGAGCTGTGATCGCGCCACTGCACTCCAGCCTGGAGGACAAAGCAAGACCCTGTCTCCAAAAAAAAAAAAAAAAAAAAAATCAAAGACAAGGTACAAATATAGAAAAATCCTTACAACACATGACAAAGGGCCGATATTTGATGTAGCAACTCTCCCGAAATATAAGATAACTTAGTATTAAAACTGGCGAAGGAGACCGAGTCCAGTAGCACACGTCTGTAATCCCGGTACTTTGAGAGGCCGAGGGTTCAAAACCAGCCTGGGCAACATGTCAAAACCCCGTCTCTACTGAAACACAAAAATTAGCCGGGTGTGGTCGTGAGTGCCTGTAGTCCCAGCTAGTCAGGAGGCTGAGGTGGGAGGATCCCTTGAGCCTGGGAAGTCAAGGGTGCAGTGAGCCAAGATTACACCACTGCACTCCAGCCAGGGAGATAAAGTGAGACCCTCTCTCAAGACAAAAAAAAAAAAAAGAAGCAAAGGAAGCAATGAACAAAAACAAATTATGAAAGGCTCTTAAACATAAGAAAGATGACTCCACCTCAGCCATTTAAAAAGTACGTATAAAATTACAATTTTCCACTCGTTAAATAATCAAAAAACAAGGTAATATACCTTGTGGCTAAGGATGTGGGGAAATGCACTCCCATACATCCTTGATGTAGTGTTAATTGATACAATCTCCTCGGAAGGTGGCATTGTCTATAGTAGCTGGAATGAAAAAACCTCAATCTCCATCAGTAGGTGCTGGTTATAAACATTAAGGAATATCCATACAATGGAATGTAAGGCAAAAAGAATGAAGTGATCTAAACTTACTGTTGAGGAGCAATGGCCAAGAAAGACAGGAAAAAACAAAGGACCTAGAAAAGGATGAATGAAATACGTGTGTGGCTAAATAGAAAGGAGTGGCCCACAAAGATAAATGTGGCTTTCTTTTTTCAAATCCCTGAGGGTAACCACTTTGTGTATTTGTTTCTCACAGCTTCAAGATATAATTTACATGCCATAAAATTCACTCTTTTAAAGTATATGAGTGACAGGTGCAGTGACTCACACCTGTAATCCCAGCACTTTGGGAGTCAGGTGGATCACAAGATTAGGAGTTTGAGACCAAACTCACCAACATGGTGAAACCCCATCTCTAATTTTTAAAAAATATGAAAATTAGTTGGGCATGGTGGTGCACTGTAATCCCAGCTACTTGGGAGGCTGAGGCAATAGAATCAATCGCTTGACCCAGGAGGCAGAGGTTGCAATGAGCCAAGATTATGCCACTGCACTCCAGCCTGGGCAACAGAGTGAGACTCTGTCTCAAAAAAAAAAAAAAAAAAGTGTATGACCAGCTGGCCTGGTGACTCACTCCTGTAATTCCAACAAGACTGTAATCTATTTTCTGTCTTGATATGTTTGCCTATTCTGATTAAAAATGGAATCATACGATATGTGACAAGCTTTTGCTTAGCATGATCTCAAGGTTCATCTATTTTGTAACATGTATCAATACTTAATTCTTTTCTATGGCTGAGTAATATTCCATTGTATGAATAGACCACATTTCATTTATCCACTCATCAGTTGATGGATATTTGGGTTGTTTCTATTTTTTGGCTATTATGATTCATGCTGTTATAAACATTGGTGTGCAGGCTTTTGTGTGGATATGTTTTCATTTCTCTTGGGAAGACACCTAGGCATAGAATTGCTAGGTCATATGGAAACTGTTTTACCTTTTAAGGAAGTGCCAAACTGTTTTCCAAAGTGCTCACCATTTTCAGTCCCCACCAGCAGTGTGTGTGGGCTCCAATTTCTCAACATCGTAGCCAACCCTTGTTTCTGTCTTTGATTATAGCTATCCTAGTGAATGTGAAGTGGCATCTCATAGAAGTTTTGATTTGCATTTCCCTGATGACTAATTAAGTTGAGCATCACCTCTGTTTTGCATCACCTTTGGAAGGATACTCCAACCTAGTGACAGTGGTTGCCTTTGAGAGGAAGAAACTGGAGACTAAGATCACAATGAGAAAAAGCCTGCCTTCTCACCATGTAACCTTTGTACTGTTTGGATTTTTAAATCCTCTATTAACCTAAAAAAAACAATTCAGGCTTTCCCTGTGGGGGATCCATGAAAAGACATCATGGTACCCGTGATTGTCTGGAATTCATATACTCAGAATGTGCATGTATATATTTATACCTGGCTAAGCAGAAGTCTATAGCTTTCATCCAAATCCCAAAGGGATTCACTGACTTCTCCAAAAATAAGTGAAATCCTAGTCTAGAAATGCAAGTATGTCTGGATAACCAGGAACCTATTAGTGTCAGCCCTCTATTGCTCAAACAGCCCTGGAAACACCCTGCTTATAATTATAAGGTGTTTGCAACAGGTCATGTCCTGTTTGGGGCACAAAATGCACATTCACCTTGAATCCTCACAGACACCAGAGCTGAAGACAGAGCTGTCTGTACAGATCACTGTCAACCTGGCTGGGACCCAGTTCAGCTACATCACATGTCAAGCCAAAGCTGTCCTTACTGGGGAATTGCTAAATGCTTTCCCCAGGCAGGACCTACCGCTGACAACAAGCCTATGAGATGGGTACTTTTTCTTATTCAAAATGTACAGATGAGGAAGCAGAGCCTCAGAGTAACTCCCTTCCTGGGCCCAAGATCATGTAGCTATTCACAGCCAACAGTGAGAGCCAGGATCCTAGCTAGCTCTCGGCTACCCCATCTCAAGGATGCAGAGCACCTTCTCTAAACAAATTCTTCTAGACACAAAACTAATTACAAGTTGACTGTTGACTTTACAAACATATTTTTATTATATAAAAAGAAATCACTATAGAATCATTTTAAATAGGACATTTCTCCCAGTGAATTTAAAATAGCATCTGTTTCACAAAAAGATATGCAACATGACTTTTCAGATATATACACACTGAATAATCATTAGGTACATGGCGAAATATACATTTAATACCTTTTTATTTATTTTATAAAACAGGACAAGTGCATTTTCCAAGTGCTTCTATAGCCAGTGTCTCATCTGTTCCTCCCAACAGCCCAGGGATGGAGAACAAGCAGGTGTTATCTTACTTACAAAGAAACTGAGGTCCCAAAAACTAAATGACTGACTTAATTGGAAGGAGAATCAGACATGAAATGCAGTCTCCTGATTCTTCATCAGGTTATAAATAACACATATTCTTGGGTGGGTGTGGTGGCTCATGCCTGTAATTCCAGCACTTTGTGAGGCCAAGGTGGGTGGATCGCAAGGTCAGGAGCTTGAGACCAGCCTGGCCAATATGGTGAAACCCCATCTCTACTGAAAATATAAAACTTAGCCAGGCATGGTGGTGGGCATCTATAGCCCCAGCTACTCAGGAGGCTGAGGCAGGAGAATCGCTTGAACCTGGGAGGCAGAAGTTGCAGTGAGCCGAGTTCGCACCACTGCACTCCAGCCTAGGCAAGAGAGTGAGACTGTCTTAAAAAAATAACAAATAAAAGCTCCATTAAAAAAACACTAATATTAGTGGGATGGGAAGATAAAGGTGCCAGGCAGTGACTAAATAAATATGTGAGTTGCAAGATTTCCAATACAGGCAGCGGAAAACCTGTAGAGTGCGTCGCCAGGTGTCTGCCATTTGCAGAACTTGAGACCTGGAGAGGTGAGTCAAGAAATGCACTGAGACACAAGTTGAAAGTCTTTCAGGACAGGCACAGTGGCTCCAAGCTGTAATCCCAGCACTTTAGGAGGCCGAGGTGGGAGAACTGCTTGGGCCCAGGACTTCAAGACCAGCATGAACACCATAGCGAGACCCCGTCTCTACAAAAAAATTAAAATAAAAATAAAAAAAGTCTTTCAGAGCATGAAAGCTTGCAGCTGTCAGCAAATACGACCCAGAGATCTTAGCTCCAGAAAATGCTATGGCATTGCAGAATGCTCCACCAGTGGTGGGGGGAAAGAGCTGCTGAGGTAATGGAATCTGCAGGGGTGGTTATCATCACACAGTCCCTGGAACCACAAAATCACCCACATCCTGGGCCCGTGTACAGGGTTTCTGCTTCAGTCTCCTCTGATCCCCTGCACTAGCTAACAAAGCCCAGAAAGGAAGAGGCTTCATGGATTTTTGTGTCTCTAAAAGCTAAGGGCCCTTCTCTCCCAACTCATTCCAGTGAAATGAAGTTTCCCTCCCACCCAGGAGAGCTGAGGTTTTGTTGCGTTATTTCCAGGCAGGTCTTGGATTCTGCCTCAGATCTTTTTCTTGATCTGATGCGCATCTTTCCAACTAAGGACAAGGGTCCTCAGCTGTGTTCCAGTCATCAGGGGCCAAAGAGCTCAACGCTGTCCAGTTTCTCCTCTTTGTAAAGTAGAATATCCTCCATCAGTTTCCTTTTGGCCTCATTGATCTCAATTTGCCACGAAGTCTCCGTAGCTGATGCTTAACAGAAAGGAAAGAAGAGCGACTTGCATGAAAGCTACTATTATGTAATTCTTAGATTCACTTAAATCAGGTTTCTGAATCAGGCCCTGAGTGTAATGAGCATTTCTCTTTTTTCCCCTTTCTTTTCTTTTGTTTTTTTTTTTTTCTTTTGAGATAGGGTCTCACTCTGTTGCCCAGGCTGGAGCACAATTGTGCAATCTCCGCTCACTGCGACCTCTACCTCCCAGGTTCAAGCAATTCTCCTGCCTCAGCCTCTCAAGTAACTGGGATTACAGGTGCACGCCACCACACCCAGCTAATTTATTTGCATTTTAGTAGAGATGGGGTCTCACAGTGTTGCCCAGAGTAGTCTCAAATTCCTGAGCTTAAGTAATCCACCTGCCTCAGTCTCCCAAAGTGCTAGGCTTACAGGCCTGAGCCACTGCGCCCAGCCAGTATTTTTTTTGAGACAGAGTCTTACTCTGTTGCCCAGGCTGGAGCAATCTCTGCTCATTGCAAATTCTGTCTCCTGCGTTCAGGCAATTCTCCTGTCTCAGCCTTCCAAGTAGCTGCGATTATAGATGTGTGCCACCACAGCCAGCTAATTTTCTATTTTTTATATACATATATTCTTAGTAAAGACAGGGTTTCATGATGTTGGCCAGCCCAGTCTAGAACTCCTGACCTCAAGGGATCCACCTGACTCAGCCTCCCAAAGTGCTGGGATTACAGGCGTGAGTCACTGTGCCTGACCAGCCACACCTGGCTAATCTTTGCATCTTTTGCAGAGATGGGTTTTCACCATGTTGCCCAGGCTGATCTTTAACTCCTGGGCTCAATCAATCTGCCCACCTCAGCCTCCCAAAGTACTAGGATTACAGGCATGAGTCACTGCACCCAGTTGTAATAAGCATTTTCATCTCTGCCTTTGCAGGAAGCCCCGCAACCTACCCTGACCTTCCAGAAAGGAGAGGGTTTCCCTGTTCGTCTTTATGGTGTTGAGGGGTGGGAGGGTGGAGTGAAAAATATGTTCACATCCTGTCTTCTTCCTCTCCCCTCCCCATGGCAGGAGGAGTAAAAGGAGAAACAGAAGTGGTCAGAGCCTGGGACATTCATTGAACCATGTTTACTAAGGGACAGGGACACTGCATTCAAAGGGCCTTCCTATTTTTTTTTATTTCAGAAAGAAACCTGGTATCCTTGGACCTGAATGGCAGGAATGGAAGGTATCTTTTTTTGATTTTCCTGAGATGGAGTCTTGCTCTGTCACCCAGGCTGGAGTACAGTGGTATGATCTCGGCTCACTGCAACCTCTACCTCCCAGGTTCAAACAGTTCTGCCTCAGCCTCCCAATAGCTGGGATTACAGGCACCTGCCACTACACCTGGCTAATTTTTGTATTTTTAGTGGAGACGGGGGTTTCACGATTTTGGCCAGGATGGTCTCGAACTCTTGACCTCGTGATCTGCCCACCTTGGCCTCCCAAAGTGCTGGGATTACAGGTGTGAGCCACCCAACTAGAAGTATCTTCTTTTTTTTTTGAGGTGGAGTTTCACTCTTGTTTCCCAGGCTGGGGTGCAAAGGTGCAATCTCGGCTTACCGCAATCTTCTGGCTCCTGGGTTCAAGTGATTCTCCTGCCTCAGCCTCCCAAGTAGCTGGGATTAAAGGTATGTGCCACCACGTCCGGCTAATTTTATATTTTTAGTAGAGATGGGGTTTCTCCATGTTGGTCAGGCTGGTCTTGAACTCCCAACCTCAAATGATCCACCCACCTTGGCCTCCCAAAGTGCTGGGATTAGAGGCATAAGCCACCATGCCTGGCCAGTATCTTTTTTTTTTGAGACAGTCTCACTCTCTTGCCCAAGGTTGAAGTGCAATGGCATGATCTTGGCTCACTGCAACCTCCGCCTCCCGGGTTCAAGAGATTCTCATGCCTCAGCCTCCCGAGCAGCTGGGACTACAGGCACCCGCCACCATAACCGGCTAATTTTTATATTTTTAGTAGAGATGGGGTTTCACTGAGTTGGCCAAGCTGGTCTTGAACTCCTGACCTCAGGTGATTCACCCACCGTAGGCTCCCAAAGTGCTGGGTTACAGGCATGAGCCACCACGCCCAGTATGGAAGGTATCTTTAGAAGTGACTGGTGAGGATGGTGTTTGTGTTATAAAGTGAGGATGGAGAGGCAGACAGGAATAGACCACATGGGGCCTTGAGGACTTTAAACAAGGGATGACATGCATTGTGTTTTTTGTTTTGTTTTGTTTTGTTTTGTTTTGAGACGGAGTCTCGTTCCGTCACCCAGGCTGGAGTGCAGTGGTTCGATCTCGGCTCACTGCAACCTCTGCCTCCCAAGTTCAAGCTATTCTCTTGCCTCAGTCTCTGGGGCAAGTAGCTGGGATTACAGGCACGCGCCACCATGCCTGGCGAATATTTTTTATTTTTAGTAGAGACGGGGTTTCACCACGTTGGCCAGGCTGGTCTCGAACTCCTGACCTCAGCTGATCCACCCACCTCAGCCTCCCAAAGTGCTGAGATTACAGGCATAAACCACCAAGCCTGGCCCACATTGTGTTTTTAAAAACTACTCTGGCTGGCTCCTGGAGAAGGACCTGGTGAGGGAGGGGCCAGAGTAGATGGTGGAGGACTCTGGGTGCAATCCCCTGAGGACAGAAGCTCAGACAAAGGGGGAATGCAGAGAAGTAGATGGAGGTGAGAGAGATTTAGGAGGCAAATGTTCAGGACTGGGTGATTGACTGGACGTGGTCCAGGACAGTGAGGAAAGGGAGGTGTCAAGGATGCCTCCAAGGTTTCTCTATGAAAAACTGGCTGGTTGGTGAATGGCTGAATAACCAAATGAAGGAGTGAATGAGGATAACAGAAAGAAAAAACGATGGCCTGAAGTTGGGGGGATACACATGAGCATCTATATGCACTCCGACCTCCAGCTTACCATCCTGGGGAGGTTCTAGGCCAACGCAGGCCTCAGAGGAGGAGTCGGCCTCCCTTCCCACGATGGCCCGCAGCCTTCCTTCCCCATTCTCTATGGGGAGAAGTGGGGCAGCAGCCCAGGCCCAGGCTGCCACACTGACGGAGGAGGCATCAAGGCTGGAATTGTCCACATCATCTGTTTCCTCTGGGGTGTTGGAAGAAGAGCCTGTAGCCTCAGAAAGCCCACTCCAAGGGAGCAAGGTCTCCTGACCTCGGAGCCGCTCTTCAACAGCAGCCACACAGCCACGCACCTTTGGGAGAAGAGGGACAAGGGAGCTCATCAGGAATTCTCTCTGAAATAAAAATGCTAACACCTGGCCTCCCAGCAGAGAGGGGGCCAGGGGTAGACTGAAGAACCAAATGCTGGTTGCTTTGTCTGAAAAAGCAGCACCATTCCTTTGAAAAGAACTGCACTTGCCCACCACCTGCCCTGCCATAGATGAGACAACATGACCCAATGTGGGCTGATCATAGTACCCCACTCCTCTGGCCATAGGGATTAGTCTACATTTGGGCATGTGATCCAATCAGAATCCTTCCCTGAAACTTTTCCACCTAGAGCTTATTGGGGAAAGACCTCCAGCCTTTCCTTTCTAGTGGTAAAACCAGACGCCCCACCACACTCAGAAAACCCATTTACAGTAGGGGAAAATGAAAGCTCAACACAGAATAAAGCAGAGCAAGCAACAGAGAGAGAGAGCCACAGACACAGAGACATGATGGCTGTACCTGTGGTGTTTGAGACCCTCGGTTTAACTTCCCTGAAACCAAAGCAATGTCTGTCCTCTCTGCTGTTTGGTTAAATGAGCCACTAAGTTCGTTCATTCACTAATTCACTCATTCATATTTTTCCCCTCTCCCTTTGTCTGTGTGTGTGCACATGTAGGGGTGTGTGTGTGTGTGTGTGTGTGTGTGTGTATAAGAGTTTAAGTTCCTAACACTTTCAATCAGAAAAACACAAATAATATAGATTTTGCCCTGGAAGATTTTCCTGTTTAGGGAGGTTAGGAAAATTAGAGGGAAGCAAGGAAGGAATGTTTCTTCTTCACACACACACATAAAGCACACACACATATACTCATATACTCGTAATAACAATAACAAATCTCATCTCAGTGCCTTGCAAAAAATTCAGTATACTAATGTATCCATTTCATACACAATTCATGAGCTTTTATAGATAAAAAATTAAAAGGTCAGAAAAGTTCCTTGCCTAAAGCCACCCAGCCAGTCCACTAAATGGCAAAGGTCACCACCAAACCCAGGCCTGCTTATCTTCTGGTCCCTGACCCTGCTGGTCTCTCATCTTCCTAGCTTGGTTGTGATCTACTAAGAGCAAAGGCCATCTCCTACCTCTTTGTACACCTAAAGTGCCCTATCCACTTTATTCTACATGGCAACCCTCTCATCCTTCAAGGCCCAGGTCACATATTATTTCTTAAGATAAATCTTTACAGTAGATATTTGCCAAGCTAAAGACTGCATTTCCTTGTAGCTAGATGAGGCCATGTAACTAGGTTCTGCTCTCCATTATGTGAGAAAAATGCATTTCCAGATCACATCTTTAAAAGAAAGGGAGTGTGTCCACTTCTTTCTTTTAACCCTCTTTCACTGGCTGGAATGCAGGTGTGATGGCCTGGGTAAGAGCAGCCATCTTAGACCCTGAAATGGAAGCCACATGGTAAGTATAGCAGAGCAACAATATAGAAGGAGCCTGGGTCCCCAATACCATGGCACTGCCACATTAGCACTAGACTGGGTAAATTCAAACTGTTACACTAAAGAGAACAGACACGTATCTTGTTTAAACCACCGCATTTTGCAGTTTCCCTGTTATAGCAGTTTCACCTCCACCTTAAGTGATACATTGAATAAAATAATGGGATTATTAAAAGGATTAAAGTCTTTTTTTTTTTTTTTTTTTTTTTGCCTGAGCGTAGCTGAAAACTGCTCCAAGAAGGGAAGAAAGTCTTACTGAAAGAATAACTGGTTGAAGGTTTAGAATATAAACCTGATTATGTTCTTTTTTTTTTTTTTTGAGACGGAGTTTCGCTCTTGTTACCCAGGCTGGAGTGCAATGGCGCGATCTCGGCTCACCGCAACCTCCGCCTCCTGGGTTCAAGCAATTCTCCTGCCTCAGCCTCCCAAGTAGCTGGGACTACAGGTGTGCGCCATCACGCCCAGCTAATTTTTTTGTATTTTTAGTAGAGACGGGGTTTCATCATGTTGACCAGTATGGTCTCGATCTCTTGACCTCGTGATCCACCCGCCTCGGCCTCCCAAAGTGCTGGGATTACAGGCGTGAGCCACCGCACCCAGCCAATTATGTTCTACCTCTCCTTAAAACCCTTAGTGAGCCCACACACAGTGGCTCACGCCTGTAACCCCAACACTTTGGGAGGCCAAGGCAGGCAGATCATCTGACGTTAGGAGGTCGAGAGGTCTAGAGCAGCTTGGCCAACATAGTGAAACCCCGACTCTACTAAAAATACAAAAATTAGCTGGGTGTGATGGTGCACGCCTGTAATCCTAGCTACTCGGGAGGCTGAGGCAGGAGAATTGCTTGAACCCAAGGGGTAGAGATTGCAGTGAGCAGAGACTGCACCACTGCACTCTAACCTAGAGAACAGAGCGAGATTCTGGACACTATCCAGGGAGGGAGCCTTGGGCAGCCAAGTTTTCACGCTGGACCCACTACACCATGCCTGATTGGCCAAGTGGTGGACACCTGACCTGAGTTCAGCCAATCAGGTTCTTCCTCTGCCGTCGGACACAGGGTGGAGGCTCATTCCCTCCATTATAACCTGCGGGCAGAGCCGTTCCATCCCAGAGAGCACGGAGGAAAGGAGAAGGCGCCTGTAGGGAAGGGGGAATAAACCCGATTCGCAGTGAGTTCTGTTAACACCCCAGGCTTGGTCCTGTGCCTTGAGGCCCTGCACCTCCCCTGTCCTTAGGCTCCTCACTATCCATCCCTATACGGCCTGTGGCTGATGAGAGCTCCGGGAGGTTCTGCTGCTTGCAAGCAAACACAGCCCTGGTTTGTGCACCAGGCCTCTGTGAAGGGGCAGTCCGGATGAGGCGGACCGCGCACCCAGGCACTAGGCCGCTGCCAACGAGGCTCACCTCCTGCAGGCTGGCATTGCGCCTCCGCAGGCACAGGCAGGTGGCCATAGCCAGGGCCTCCGCGCAGTCCTCCGGCAGCCTTCCTGCGCCCTTCTCCAGGTATTTCTGGCAGATCTCCTTTGCCATCACCTTCTTCACGTCCGTCTTCCTGGAGCAAAGCAAGGTGGTGCTGCTTGGAATTTCACTGAGGAGTAAATCCTTCTGTGGGAAGAAGGGTGGAAACGCCCTTGTGTGAGCTGCTGGTCTGCGAGAGCCAACGCACGCGACCCACTCACCTCCAGAGCTGCATAAAATGCTCGGAAAAGCAACAGGACATTTTAAGAATAAATGCAAGGATTTCAGAAACAAGTGAAACACCCAAGAAATGGAGAAGGACTCAATTGCTTACACAGGACACTCCACAGTGAACTCATGTAATGAGTTCACTCGCAATGAAGAACAAGTGCGAGTTCTTCATTTTTCTAGGCCTCGGCTGGTTCATCAGGAAACTAGGAACAAAAATACCTACACCAGGGCCAGGCGTGGTGTCTCATGCCTGTAATCCCAGCACTTTGGGAGGCCGAGGCAGGTGGATCACTTGAGGTCAGGAGTTCGAGACCAGCCTGGCCAACATGGCAAAACCCCGTCTCTACTAAAAATACAAAATAGCTGGCCGTGGTAGCACACATTTGTAATCCCAGCTACTAGGGAGGCTGAGGCAGAATTGCTTGAACCCAGAGGGAGGGTGGGTGGAGATCACGCCACTGCACTCCAGCCTCAGCGACAGGGAAATTCAGTCTTAAAAATAACATAAAATAACTACACCTAAGAATAACACACCATGAAATGAAACAGTGTACCTAAAGCACAAAGACTAACACCTGACACAGAATATTCAATAGTCTTTTAGTGATAATAACTAATAGTAACAACAGCTACCATTTATATGGTACTTACTACATGATGAGCACTTACATAATCTTATTAACAAATACATGGACAATCTCTTATGATATAAACATTTCAAATATAGGATTCTGACCTATGTATATATAACAGGAGAGCCACTATAAAGAAAATATTATGTCTATTGATATTTTTTATACATTTTGTATTTACATATAATATTTTGTATGACATAAAACGCAGAAATCAACTATGCATACAATAGAATATATGCTATATAATGTTATACAAATATGTATATTTATTTAATATAAGTTATATGTTGTATATTTCATGAGTAATATGGTATATATGATTAGCATATATATAAATGTTACAAATACACTGTGTTCAATATTGTAAAAAAATGTACTGTGGGCCAGGCGCAGTGCCTCACACCTGTAATCCCTTTACAGGGAGGCCAAGGCAGGCAGATCACTTGAGGTCAGAAGTTTGAGACCAGCCTGGCCAAGATAGTTAAACCTCATCTCTACTAAAAATACAAAAAAATTAGCTGGGCATGGTGGCACACACCTGTGATCCTAGCTACATGGGAGGCTGAGGCAGGAGAATTGCTTGAACCTGGGAGACAGAGGTTGCAGTGAGCCAACATCATGCCACTGTACTCCAGCCTGGACCACAGAGGGAAAAAAAAAATTGGCCGGGCACAGTGGCTCATGCCTGTAATCCCAGCACTTTGGGAGGCCGAGGTAGGTGGATCACGAGGTCAAGAGATCGAGACCATCCTGGCCAACATGGTGAAACCCCATCTCTACTAAAAATATAAAAATTAGCTGGGTGTGGTGACATGTGCTTGTAGTCCCAGCTACTTGGGAGGCTGAGGCAGAAGAATTGCTTGAACCCAGGAGGCGGAGGTTGCAGTGAGCTGAGATCGCGCCACTGCACTCCAGCCTGGCGCCTGGCGACAGAACATGACTCTGTCTCAAAAAAAAAAATTAAAATTAAACATAAGTGGTTAAAATTGGGGGCAAAAGTTTACCTTTCCTTTCATTTCTACACTCCAAAGGTAACCCCTGCTAATAATTTTGATTATAATACTTTCTGGTATACACATATAATTATTTTGGTTATATATTTACTTATATAATAATTAAAACAGTATCCTAAGAGCTATTAAAATAATAGCAATATCAGCCTGGAAAACATAACAAGTCTCCATCTCTACAAATTAAAATTTTTAAATGGCTGGGCACAGTGGCTCACGGCTATAATCCCAGCCCTTTGGGAGGCCGAGGCGGGAGGATCATCTGAGGTCAGGAGTTTAAGACCAGCCTGGCCAACATGGTGAAACTCTGTCTCTATTAAAAATAAAAAATTAGACCAGTGTGATAGCATATGTCTAGTCTCAGCTACTCAGGAGGCTGAGTCAGGAGAATCACTTGAACCTGGGAGGCGGAGTTTGCAGTGAGCCAAGATCACACCACTGCACTCCAGCCTGGGCAACAGAGTGAGACTCCATCTAAAAAAAACAAACAAAAAAAAACATTGCCGGGTGCAGTGGGGCATGCCTGTAGTCCCAGCTACTCAGGAGGCTGAGGTGAAAGGATCACTTAAGCCCAGGAGTTCTGGGCTGTAGTGCGCTATGCCGATCAGGTGTCCGCACTAAGTTTGGCAACAATATGGTGACCTCCCAGGAGTGAGGGACCACCAGGTTGCCTAAGGAGGGGTGAACCGGCGCAGACTGGAAACGGAGCAGGTCACAACTCCTGTGCTGATCAGTAGTGGGATCTTGCCTGTGCATAACCAACACACTCCGGCCTGGGCAACATAGTGAGACCCTGTCTCTTTAAAAAAAAAATTAAAAATTAGCTGGGTGTGAGGGCACATGCCTGTGGTCCCAGTTACTTGGGAGACCACTGAGGCAAGTGGATCACTTGACATCAGGAGTTCAAGACCAGCCTGGCCTGTCTCTACTAAAATAATACAAAAATTAGCTGGGTGTGGTGACATGCTCCTGTAGTCCCAGCTACCGGGGAGGCTGAGGCAGGAGAATCGCTCGAACCCCAGGGGCAGAGGTTGCAGTGAGCCAAGATCACACCACTGTACTCAGCCTGGGCGACAGAGGGAGACTCTGTCTTGAAAAAAAAAAAATGCTACTACAAATATCCTTGTTCATGTGTCTCTCCTCACCTGTCTGCATGTTTCTCTAGTCACAAACGGAATTGCCGCATGAGAGGGTACCCATATTTTTAATTTTGGTGGAAACCATCAAATCCCCTCAGGAAACACCATGGCAACTAACACTTTCCCGAGCCTGGGGGAGGCCTGCTTCCTCCTACCCTGGGCCACAGGAAGTCAGCAAGCTTTCCTCCCTGACTCAAATCCTGATTAACCATCAGATTGCACTTACCCCAACAGAACATAAGAGACCATATAAGAGTCTAGAGGAAGAGAAATAAACTAAAATTTTAAAAATCGTTATTTTCCACATTTTTAGAAATCATTAGCAAAAAAAAAAAAAAAAAAAAATCTAGACATTTCGTGTCAGTGCCTTAAAAGCCTCCTTTGACACTTGTGTGGAGAGCCCCAGAAGACTGCTGGGAAATGCATCTTAAGAAAAGAGTCCAGAGATGGGAAACTGCCCCCAAACGGCCCAAATCACATCTGAGCTGCCCAGACAGACCTCTCTGCAGCATATGGGATTGACTGCCCAAAAGGGGTGAACTCACAGAGTTCAGCAAAGGGACATGTCATGACATTCTGCATGTAGTGGAGAGGACTTCAGCCTCCCTACTCCAGAGCCCAGGGAATCCTTCTGGGGCCCAGTCACCAGAAAAAAAAATCTGTCTGTTCCAATGGCCTCAACATCTAGGAGGAAAAGGTAGCCCCTCTCAAACTGTTGAAGAAAACTAGAGCCTTCACAAGATTTGCAACTCTGCAGGAGCCATGGGTTCAATTAAATCCCAGTTCCACCACTGATCTCACTGAGGGTCACTTCAGCCTGGCCTCAGTTTTCTCAGCTGTAAATGGGGATGATAATACTGAATTTGTATGGTTGGACTGTCACAAGAAACAGGCAGGAGACTGCTGTAGTTAAGAACTCAAGATCTCAGGTCAGGGAGATCTGACTCAGAATTCCATCTCTGACACTTGGTAACTCCAACCAAGATGCCAGGCCAACCTCAGAACCAGCTTTCCTCATCTGCGGATGAACATAATGACTTTATCATGGAAAGGTTGAGATGATTTAGAAAGATAATGTATAGGAAGTACTTAATACAAAGTCAGGGTAGGTTGTTACATTTTTATTCTTTTTTGAGACAGGGTCTCACTCTGTTACCCAGACTGCAGTGCAGTGGTGCAATCTCAGCTCACTGCAGCCTCCATCTCCTGGGTTCAAGCGATTCTCCGCCTCAGCCTCCCAAGTAGCTGAGATTACAGGCTTGTGCCACCACACCAGGCTAATTTTTGTATTTTTAATAGACACGGTGTTTCACCATGTTGCCCAGGCTGGTCTAGAACTCCTGGCCTCAAGTGATCTGCCTACCTTGGCCTTCCCCAAAGTACTGGGATTAGAGGCATGAGCCACCACACCCAGCCAGGTTGTTATATTTTTTAAATGACAATGTATATCAGATCTTTGGCCTATAAAATGGAAATTGTTTTTATTATAGAAACTTGTGGCTGGGCATGGTGGCTCACGCCTATAATCCCAGCACTCTGGAAGGCCAAGGCAGGCAGATCACGAAGTCAAGAGATCAAGACCATCCTGGCCAACATGGTGAAACCCCGTCTCTACTAAAAATACAAAAATTAGCTGGGCATGGTGGCGCCCACCTGTAGTCCCAGCTACTCAGGAGGCTGAGGCAGGAGAATTGCTTGAACCCGGGAGCCAAGATCATGCCACTGCACTTCAGCCTGGCGCCTGGCGACAGAGTGAGACTATCTCAAAAGAATAAAAAAGAAACTTGTTTGAAAGAGCTAAAATTTTAATCAATTTGAGGAAAATCCCTAACTGCCTGATATGTAGAGAAGTGTGCTTTCTGTAAACATTCCAATTTCTTTTTTTTAATTTTTTTTTTTTTTTGAGATGGAGTCTCGCTCGCTCACCCAGGCTGGAAGGCTGGAGTGCAGTGACATGATCTTGGCTCACTGCAACCTCTGCCTCCCAGGTTCAAGAGATTCTCCTGCCTCAATCTCCCAAGTAGCTGGGATTACAGGTGCATGCCACTACATCCGGACAATTTTGAGTTTTTTCTGTAAGATTTTTTTTTTTTTTTTTTTAATAGAGACAGGGTTTCACCATGTTGGCCAGGCTGGTCTCGAGAACTCCTGATCTCAAATGATCAGGCCACCTCAGCCTCCCAAAGTGCTGGGATCACAGGCATGACCCACAGCACCAAGCCCCAAATGCTATGATCATGAAAAAGCCATGGCTGGCTGGCAGGTGGGGATGGGAGGTTACAGCTACTTTGTGGGGATGCATATGGAACCTTGAACCAGGCCTCATTAGCTGTGTGAATGAAACTAGCCAGAGGTGAGGTCACTTCCCTCTCTACCCACAGAGCTGTGAGGCCCAAATATACCACCCAGCCAGATGTGACAAGTTCCCTTACCAGGTAAACTGGTCTTCGGTTGTTATCCATCGCAGGGATGCCCGTGAGGACCTCAGCCAACACCTGGAGAGAACAGAACGTGAGTTAGCACGGCTCAGACACTCATGCACACGGCCAGGCAGCAGATTCTGTCTTCTCAGTTGCAAAGTCTGAGCTCCAGGTGCTACTCTTCATTGCCAGCAGACATACCTGCCCACGTGGGAATATCACTAAACACTTCCTCCAATTAAAGAGGCCACCTAGCTACCAGTAGAAGCTTGTAATTAATTGATAGCCAGGCAGGGAAGATGGTTCTCAAAAATTCATGTTTGTGTATGTGTGTGTTTATGTGTATTACCATAAGATATATAGGTATAGATATAGATATCAACAGATACAGATATATGCACACATATATACACACTATTTTTTAAAGATTATTTTGTTTAAAAATCCTTCAGCTAGCCGGGCACTGTGGCTCATGCCTATAATCCCAGCTCTTAGGGAGGCAGAGGCGGGAGGATAGCTTGAGCCCAGGAGTTGGAGACCTGCCTGGACAATATAGCAAGACCCCAGTTCTAAAAACTAATAATAAATAAATAAATAAATAAAAATCCTTCAGCTATGGCAAGCAGGCATTGCTGTGTCAATCTCAGGGAAAGAAGGCATCTGTGTGCAGGCAGGTATCTATTCTAGACAAATCTCACAGCATCCATAGCATGTTTCAATCTCAGGCCTTTATTAACATTATTTATTCATTAATGCATCCACTTGCAGTTATTCATTAATGCATCCACTTGCAGAAGCAGCACAGCCCTGTGTCCGTGTAAGTCACCACAAAATTGACAAATCATGATATACATCTTAATAAATGGAAGACGTGCTTTGAACAGGGTTTCTTAGGAAACAACAGCATGATGGTTAAGGGCTCTACAATCAGGCCTGAGTTCAAATTCTGACTCTGTTCCTTACATGCGCAGGTGATCTTTAGCACATAACTAAAACCTGAGCCTCAGTGTCCTCATCTTTAAATGGAGACTAGCAGTTGTGAATATTAAAGGCATGAATACCCCACATTTAGTATGGAATTTCTCTCCCACAGCATCTCTTGAAAGTTGTAATAGGGTCCCATTTATCGCCAAGAATCCCTCCAAGCCTGGAGGAAGGAAAAGATAAAAGGTTTGAAACCACCCAGGATTAATAACAGACTGGCAGTGGCCAGAAGGGGGCAGCAGAGGGCACCACTGCAGCAAGCAGGACAAGGAGTCAATTGAAAAGGAACTTCTGACTCGTCCTTGCCAGGAAGGGAAAGAACAAGCGGATATGAATAAACAGAGTTCCTGTGCCTCTTCCCACAGGGCAGGCTCTGAGTCAAGTCCTTTACAGAGGTCATTTAGCGCTCATCAAAAAACACTGAGCAATGCACTGTGCTCCCCACAGGAGGAACCAAAGTTCAAAAGCACATCGGTCAACCAGAGACAGGGCTTAGCAAAAGGGTGGCAGGAGCCAGTGGGCACTCAATGAATGAATGGATGGATGGGTGGGTAGATGGATGGATAGATGGGTGGATGTGTGGGTAGGTGGATGGATAGATGGGTGGATGTGTGGGTAGGTGGATGGATAGATGGGTGGATGTGTGGGTAGGTGGATGGATAGATGGGTGGATGTGTGGGTAGGTGGATGGATAGATGGGTGGATGTGTGGGTAGGTGGATGGATAGATGGGTGGATGTGTGGGTAGGTGGATGGATAGATGGGTGGATGTGTGGGTAGGTGGATGGATGGGTGAGTGGGTGGGAGGATGGATGGATGTTTGGGTGGGTGGCTGGGTAAGTGCATGGGTGGATGTGTGGGAGGATGGATGGATGGGTGGGTGGGTGGATGGATGGTTAGGTGGGTGGGAGGATGGGCTCATGGGGGGATGGGTGGGAGGATGGGTACGTGGGTGGGTGGGTGGGTACGTAGGTGGATGGATGGGTGGGAGGGTGGATGGATGGGTGGGAGGGTGAATGGAAGGATAAGGAAGTCATCTGTGACACCAGCAGCACAGTTAAGAAGGTCAAGAGTAAACAGATATCAGAAGGAGGGTGTAAAGGTAGGAATAACAATAAGCACAGTCATCATAATATTCTTGGTAGGTGCAGGGTACTGTGCTTACCAGTTTATATATATTATTCCATTCATCTCCATATGTATTGTTAACCCAACCTTACAGAAGGCATAACTGAGGCCCAGAGATAGAGGTGCTCGGTGTAGGTCACACAGCTGAAAGTAACTGAGCTGGGCCTAGGGGTTCCATCCCCCTGGTTCTTAAAGGAGCAGGAGCCTGGACGAGCCCTGCTGAGCTTCACTGAAAAACTCGCAGTGGGGCTGAGAAAGGCAGAGGAACCAGCTGGAAGACACAGGGGCACAGAATCTGGGGTACTGGCTGAGGGTAGAGGTGACTCAGGGCTACGGTTATAGTGGCAGAGATAGACAGGAGACTGTGTTCTGTGAGACGAAGTGCACAGTTCAAGGCTAGAGAAGAGAGGGTGAGGCCCAAGGGGCAGCTGTATGCACTTGGCAGAAGCCAACCTGACTGCCACTCTTCTCAACCAGCATTTCCCAGACTGGGTTCCATGGAACACTGATGAGGACAGATATTCTAAGAAAACGAGGTTCCACAGTCGAATGAGTTTGGGAGATACTGCATCCCCCTCTGTGGTGAATTCACAAGTACCAGATTAAAGGCTCATTACCATCCTACCAGCTTGAATTAATCTTGTGGTAAAGAAACCTGCTTGACTTTGCCTAATGCAGTATTTCCAAGCCTATGCGGGCACAAACCCTTTTAACACATCAATCCTAGAGGTCCAAAGGAATTGGTGTTCTACAGAAAGATACATTGGAGACTGCTACATGCAGACCATGAGCTCCTGAGGGGAGAGACTGTGTTTTTGTTACATTCATATTCCTAGTTCCTGGCACGATGTAATGGCAGATAAGGATGGTGGTGGCGGTAGGGAGGGGTGCTGGATGGGAGGACGGCCGCTGAATGGATGGGCAGCTAAAGGCTGGATGGATGATCAGACAGCAATGAAAAAACAAGAACAAGCAGACACCTGTATGGACAAGTGGATGGCTGGATGGGAGTTAGGGAAGTCAGGAGAGGATATTTGCAGCCTACTAGAACCTGGACACTCATGAGTGGTTCCCTTCAAGGACTGGCAAATTTCTTCTGTAACAGGCCATACAGTAAATATGTGAGCCTTTGTAAAGCATGTTCAGTCTCTGTCACATGTTTTTTTTTTTTTGAGAAGGAGTCTCACTCTGTCACCAGGCTGGAGTTCAATGGCACAATATCAGCTCACTGCAACCTCCCAGGTTCAAGTGATTCTCCTGCTTCAGCCTCCTGAATAGCTGGGACTACAGGCACCTGCCACCACACCCAGCTAGTTTTTGTATTTTTAGTACAGACGGGGTTTCACCATGTTGGCCAGGATGGTCTCAATCTCTTGACCTCATGATCCACCTGCCTCAGCCTCCCAAAGTGCTGGGATTACAGGCTTGAGCCACCACAACCGGCCCACATATTTTTCTTTGTGTTTAAAAATATAATCCTCCATAAATGTAAAACTACTCTTAGATCACAGACCACACAAAATAGGCCTGTGTGCCAGGCTTGCCAGCCTGCTGCACTTTGATGGAATGTGTCTGTGTGCCTCTACTGTGTTCTGTGGTTACGAAGGAGCCATGGGAAGGACAGCCCCAGCCTACGCAGAGCAGGACGCTCTTACTATTCCACAGCTGAAGATGTCCACTCGCTTCGTGAGCTGCCCCACCCGGATGAAATCCTCTGGCAGATATGCAGCTGATGCCTGGAACAGGTGGGTCTTCATCATGGTGTATTTTGACCTTTTGTTGACATGACACAGGTGAGCCATTGGGTGAGCAAGCTTGGGGGTGAGATTTTGGTCCAGCAAGACATTAGAGCTGTGGAAACAAAAGCAGAGAGAACCTTCTCATTTTGAGCTGGATAACCACAGGTTGCCATGGAGACCCTCTGGGGAGATGACAAAGCAGTAGAGCAACATCAGCTCCTGCAAGTTGGGGTCTCCAAAAACCCTCAGCATGGAGCTTCTGAGCCAGCCCTGACTGGGGAAGAGAGGGCATCAGGAGCATTCTCCCTCCAGCAAATGGAGATGGAGCTCCAAATTGCTCTTGCTGCCCCAGGAACCTGGCCAAAGAGGTACAGCCTCCCTGATCCCCACAGATGCCAACCCTGATTATCCTCAGCCTGCCAAGCCTATAGGCTGTGCTGACTCAGTCTCTTCCGCAACTGTTCAACCCCCAGCTCTGGCCCGGCTGACTCATGTCTAAGTGGCCAGCATCCTTTTTGACTAAACCTGCCTAGATCATGGGAAGTAACAAGAACAACAACAAAAAATTCATCTTGGCCGTGCATGGTGCCTCACGCCTGTAATCTCAGCACTTTGGGAGGCTGAGGTGGGTGGATCATCTGAAGTCAGGAATTCAAGACCAGTCTGGCCAACATGCCAAAACTTCATCTCTACTAAAATTTCAAAAATTAGCCAGGTGTGGCAGTGGGCGCCTATAGCCCCAGCTACTCAGGAGGCTGAGACAGGAGAATCGCTTGAACGTGGGAGGTGGAGGTTGCAGTGAGCTGTCATGCCATTGCCCTTTAGCCTAGGTAACAGAGTGATACACTGTCTCAAAAAAAAAAAAAAATCATTTGACCGAGTCATCTAACCCACAGGAGCAAATGCTGAGAATATCTCAAAAAGGGGAAAAAAGCTAAGCCACATGTGTACAGATATTTAGTGCAGGCCAGGTATGGTGGCTCATGCCTGTAATCCCAACACTTTGTGAAGCTGAGGCAGGAGGATTGCCTGAGCCCAGGAGTTTAAGACCAGCCTGGGCAGCATAGCAAGACCTCATCTCTGCTAAAACAAACAAAATTAGCTAGGCATGGTGGTGCATGCCTGTGGTCCCAGCTACTTGGGAGGCTGAGATGGGACGCTGCAGTGAGCCGAGACTGTGTCACTGTACTCCAGCCTGGGCAACAGAGCAAGGCCCTGTCTCAGAAAAAAGCTGTGTGTGTGTGTGTGTGTGTTTGTGTGTGTGTGTGTGCGCGCGCGCACACGTATGTGCATACATGTGTGTGTATTTAGTGTAGAACTAACTCCAAAAAACAATATTTTAAAAAGTAGACACCAAATTCCAATATTCACTATTAGCAGTGGCTAAGTATATTATGGACAAATTCCTTTAAGGAAAGACTAAGAAGTCACTAAAAAACATGACATGCCCTATAATGTAGGGCAATGTTTACTATATTTAAATGAAGGGGTAGAAAACAGGATGTCAACTGGTACCCAGGTGCTACCTTGGGACTAAGGATTTGTGTGGTCAGGAACTGAAAATAAAACAAAAAAGCTAGAGGCCAACTGATGAGTCAGGATAGGGGTAGGTCAGTGGTGACCTCTCTCACCCTTTCATTTCCTTGCCTGCTATTATAATTATTGGTGCAATCAAATAAAAACTGGGGGAGAGGGCCAGGCACAGTGGCTTGCACCTATAATTCCAGCAGTTTGGAAGGCCAAGGTGGGTGGATCACCTGAGGTTAGGAGTTTGAGACTAGCCTGGCCAACATGGTGAAACCCTGTCTCTACTAAAAATACAAAAATCAGCTGGGCATAGCGGCAGGTGCCTGTAATCCCAGCTACTCAGGAAGCTGAGGCAGAAGAATCACTTGAACTTGGGAGATGAAGGTTGCAGTGAGCCGAGAGCTGAGATTGCACCACTGCACTCCAGCCTAGGTGAAAAGAGTGAAACTCCATCTCAAGAAACAAAACAAAACAAAAAAAATTGGGGGAGTGAAAAGAAGAAAGGACTTCCACAAATCAAATGGAAAGAGAACCTTGGGGAAATATGAGTTCTGTGTCTCTGGAGCCAGTTCTGCCAGATTTTCTGATATCTTTGGAATCCCTCCCTATCCTAGCCATCCTCAGCATGCGTGGCACTGAGATGCTGGGGTGCAGGCCTAACCTGGAGGAAGCCTTCCAGACAAGATGCTGACACCAACAGCTACACAAGGAGGGAACGGGTCTTAGAGAAGACACTGAACGAGTAGCTTGAAATGCCAGGGAGTTGGCAGACATGGGCCAAAGTTCAAGGATGAGGTCCAGGCCAGTTGCTGAGTGGACAGTGAGATGCAGCAGAGTGTGGAGGGCTTGTTGGGAAAACAGCAGCTCAGAGAGACAAATGTGGTGACAGGTAGGTGACTCATGCTGAGAGCAACTGGACTCAGAGCACAGCCCAGAAACACTCATTTTTGAGGGCATAACAGAGAAAAAGGCACCCAGGGGAAGGCAGGGGAGAGGAGGTAGGGAAAGAAGAACGGGACAGGGTGAGTGGTTGGGGGAGTGAGCCAGGAATAGGTTCCGGTCCCACCCTTGCAGCTCAGACCCCAGCAGGGTCCAGCCCGCCTCTCTCACCTCTTGACGTTGCTGTGGATGATCTCCAGGCCATGCAGGTACTCAACAGCACAAAGCAGCCCCGAGCAGATGCTGACACGCTGGGGCCAGGGGAGGGGGTCAGAGCCACCCTAAGAGAAAGAAAAGCAGATGGACAAACAGTCACCATGTACCTTTTTAAAGTCCTGATGGCAGGGTCCCAGGCTCCGGGCCCTCCTCCCACTCTTCACGTTCTCTGCCACAGGGCTGAGCATGACACTACGGGTTTTTTCATTTTTTTGTTAGTTTGTTTGTTTTGAGACAGGGTCTTGCTCTGTCACCCAGACTGGAGTGCAGTATTATACCTCACTGTAGCCTTAAAATCCTAGGCTCAAGTGACCCTCCCACCTCAGACTCCCGAGGAGCTGGGACCACAGGTGCAGGCCATCACTCCCCACTAATTTTTGTATCTGTGGTGGAGACAGGATTTCGCCATATTGGCCAGGCTGGTCTCGAACACCTGGGCTCAAGTGATTCGCCCACCTTGGCCTCCCAAAGTGCTGGCATTACAGGCATGAGCCATGTGCTTGGCCCTATCCTATGGGTTTTGACATCAGATATATCTTGGTGTAACTCCCAATTCAGACATGCACTAGCTGTGTAATTTTGGAAAAAGAGACTTAACATCTCTGAGCCTCAGTTTCCTTGGGTTTAAAATGGAAATGTTAATCCCAACATTTTAGGGTTGCTGTAAGGATTCACGGGAGTATATGGGATACCCCTAGCATAGCACCTGTCACACGTTAGGTGCTCAATCAACAGTTATTTTTATCAAGAGACTGGTTGGGGTGGGCTAACACCTCTCATTTGCTCCTACTGTTGTTCTAAGACTGATTCTCTCAGGCTAAATCATCACTTTTTTTTTTTTTAAGACAGAGTCTCATTCTGTCACCCAGGCTGGAGTGCAGTGGTGCAATCTCAGCTCACTGCAACCTCTGCCTCCCAGGTTAAAATGATTCTCCTGTCTCGGCCTCCTAAGTAGCTCATACTGCAGGCATGTGCCACCACCCCTGGCTAAGTTTTGTATTTTTAGTAGAGACAGGGTTCACCATATTGGTCAGGTTGGTCTCCAACTTCTGACCTCGAGTGATCCACCCCCGTTGGCCTCCCAAAGTGCTGAGATTAGAGGTGTGAGCCATCACACCTGGCCTCTTCACCTATTTTTTAAGCCCTGGCATAGGTCCCACATCCTCTAAGAACTTGCCTGGACAATCCCTGATAATTTCTTCTCAAAAACTCTAAAACCTAGAGCCAGACGAACCCAATGTAAGCCCTGGCCTGACACTTGTCCACTGTGTTCCTTTGGGCAAGCCACTTTGTCTCTATGTGTCAGAGATTCCTCTTTTGAAAAATGGAGGGAAGAAACTGCATTGATTATGGCATGGCCTGGAGGAGATGACCTGTGTAAAACCCGTATCATGGCAACCTGCACACAATGAGTACTCAGAGAAGCTAACAATCATAAGTATGCCATGAATAACTCCTTTGTCTGGTCCGTGCCATGAGAAGCAATAATTCTGTTATGGAATAATTCTTTCCCCTCTGTTTGAGGATACGATAAACAGAAGGCCTATTTTGAAACACTATAATTTGTATTAAGGATTACCTTCATGTGATATAATACTCTAATAGTAAGTTTGCTTTTTATCCTGGGCCCCAGCCATCTAGTTCTCCCTAGCAGCAGCCAGTGAACCAGTTTCTTGTGTATCTTTCCAGAAATATTCCACAAACACATAAGCAAATATGTATATATTAGAAGAACATTTTATAACAAAAATTCACCTCTACTTTTCCGTATTCTTTACCTCTTAATTATTTTTCTTGTCCTACTGCACTGGCTAACACCTCCACAACCACGATGAATGAAGCTAGTTCTATGAGATACCTTTGTCTTGCTCCTGATTTGAATGAAATGCCTCTTATCAAATAATTTTTAATAGATTTTTTTCCTGAAGATGTTTAATCAGATCTTTTTGTGCATTTCTTTTTCTTTTTTATATGTTGTCATCCTTGTTCAGGGGCCAGGCTGATCTTCTCTGTATTGTTCCAATTTTGGCATATGTGCTGCCAAAGTGAGCATTTAACCAGATCTTAGGTATCCTGGCCCCGCTTCTCTCCTTAAAGCCTCCCTGGTCGCACCCAGATGGCCCCTCTCCCCTCTGAACTTCCATAAGTCCTTAACCCTTGGCTCCACAGCTGGGTGCAGCCTGGTCCCATTCTCTGACCATGATCTAGTCACTTACCTGGCCCTGCAGTCTGTCCTGTAGGGAACCATTTTCCATGTAGGGGTAGATGAAGCTGTGAAACTGTCTTGCAGCACAGAAGCCCAGCACAGGTAAGACATTGGGGTGGCAGCATCTGAAATCGTGCGTCAGTGCAGGGGTGAGAGTCAGACGGAAAGAATGATCTACTTCCTCATGTACCACCCCTCTTCTGCCCTCTCCTCCTGCAAGGCCACCAGTAACCTCCCAGGTAGCACATGCTTTGACCCCTAGGAGCCTGGTGCCAGGGTAAAAAGATGAAAACTGCCTGCCTTCAAGGAGTGTGGTGGTCCTTATCCTGCTTTACTGCTCTGCAGCACATGACACCTTAACCGTCCCATCTCCAGAAACATACTGAGAGGTTAAGGGACTTGCCCAAGGTCACAAACTAGCAAGCAGTGAAGCCAGACCAGATCCCACGTCTGTCTGACTCTAGCATTGGTGTTCTTCCCTGAAATCCTCTTCCACTGGGTTCTCAGTCACCGTTCTCTCCTGACTCTTCTTCTACCTCTCTGACCACTTTCTTGGCCCTTTTCACTAAGACTCCCCTCCTTTGCCTTCCTCTTGGTGCCAGCTGGACTCCTCATCTTGTTTTGTATGTTGCTCCTCCAGGTACCTCCCATTGCTATGAGGAACATTCCCAAATCTCTTATCTCCAGCCCCATCCTAAGCTCCAGACCTGAATGTCAGCTTGCATCCTGATGCTCAGGTCAACATTATCCTAGCCTCAACAAGTCCCAAACCTGCTTCTTCACCCATATTTATTATCCCAGAAGAGCACATCACCACCCACCCAGTATCCTAGAAACCTTCTTACCTCCTATATAGAATCAGTCACCATTCACTGCCACAAATAACTTTTTTAATGTCCCCTGATTCCCCTCTCCTCTGCCTTGGGTCACTTAGATTGGGTCAGTCTTTGATTAACCCTCCCCAAGACTATCGTAAATGGCCTCTTGCCTTATCTCTCTGCCCTCCTCTGTTTCCCCCAAGCCATCCTATTTACTTGCTTTTGCACACTCATTACAGTTACTTACATGTCAGTCTCCCCACTGGACCATAAACCCCAAGGCAGGGACTATGTATGCATCCAGCCTCCACTCCTTAGAGCCTAGGAAGGGGCTTGACTACTCACATTTTCTGATTCAATGAATGAAGGAGTGACTGCCATCTCCATGAGGGCACTAAGTCACAGTAGAAAGGGAATCACACTTCGGTTTTTATTAGATGTGTGTGTGTGTGTGTGTGTGTGTGTGTTTACATGTGAGTATTCATATACATGTATGAATAGAGAAAGCATTAAAGAAAACATATCAGGCTGGGTGCGGTGGCTCACCCCTATAATCCCAGCACTTTGGGAGGCCAAAGTGGATGAATCACGAGGTCAAGAGATCGAGACCATCCTGGTCAACAAGGTGAAACCCCATCTCTACTAAAAATACAAAAATTAGCTGGGCATGGTGGCGCGTGCCTGTAGTCCCAGCTACTCAGGAGGCTGAGACAGGAGAATTGCCTGAACCCAGAAGGCAGAGGTTGCGGTGAGCCGAGATCGTGCCATTGCACTCCAGTCTGGGTAGCAACAGCGAAACTCCATCTCAAAAAAAAAAAAAAAGAAAAAAGAAAAAGAAAACATATCAAAATATGGGCCTGGCACAGTGGCTCACATCTAAAGCCCCAACACTTTCAGAGGCCTAGGCAGGAGGATCACTTGAGCCAGGGAGTTCAAAACCAGCCTGGGCAATATAGTGAGATCCTGTCTCCACAAAAAAGTTTTAACAATTAAAAAAGAAAGTATATGAAAATATTAAAATAGTAGTACTTATTTACAGATGCTGTGGAAAACACATGGTTTCTATTTTCTTATTTATAATTTTCTTTGTTCCTTTTTAAATTTGTTTTACTTTTTTAAAAATTTATTTATTTATTTATTTATTTATTTATTTTTGAGTCAGAGTCTTACTGTGTCGCCCAGGCTGGAGTGTAGTAGCGCACTCTGGGCTCACTGCAACCTCCACTTCCTGGGCTCAAGTGATTCTTGTGCCTCAGCCTTCTGAGTAGCTGGACCTATCAGCACATGCCAACATGCCAGGCCTAATTTTTGTATTTTTTTTTTAGTAGAGACGAGGTTTTGCAATGTTGGCCAGGCTGGTCTCAAACTCCTGACCTCAACTAACCTTCCCATCTCGGCCTCCTGAAGTGCTGGGATTACAGGTGTGAGTTACCACACCCGGCCTTTATTCATTTTTGAGACAGGGACTCATTTTGTTGCCCAGGCTAGAGTATAGTGTCGTGATCTTGGCTCACCGCAACTTTCGCCTCCTGGGCTCAAGTGATCCTCCTACCTCAGCTGCCCGAATAGCTGGGGCTGCAGGCATGTACCACCACATCCAGCTAATTTTTGTATTTTTTGTAGAGACAGGGTTTTGCCAAGTTACCCAGGCTGATCTCAAACTCCTGGGCTTAAGTGACCCACCCGCCTCAGCCTCTCAAAATGCCTCTCAAACTTATGAGTGTAAGCCACTGCACCCAGCCAAAAAAATTTTTTTGTATATATATGTTTTCCAGCTAAGACAGGGTCTCACTATGTTGCCCAAGCTGGTCTCAAACTCCTGGGCTCAAGCAATCCTCTCACCTCAGCATCAAAGTTCTAGGATTACAAGCATAAACTACTGTGCCCAGTCAATTTTCTTTATTTTTTAACACTGGTTCCTGAATTAACAGGTATTCAATTTTCTTTCTTTCTTTTTTTTTTTTTGAGACAGAGTTTCACTCTTGTTGCCCAGGCTGGAGTGCAATGGTGCAATCTCAGCTCACTGCAACCTCCACCTCCAGGATTCAAGTGATTCTCCTGCCTCAGCCTCCTGAGTAACTGGGATTACAGGTATGCACCACCACACCAGGCTAATTTTGTATTTTTAGTAGAGATGGGGTTTCACCATGTTGGTCAGGCTGGTCTTGAACTTCTGACCTCAGGTGATCCTCCTGCCTCTGCCTCCCAAACTGCCAGATTACAGTCATGAGCCCCCACCCATGGCCTTCTTTATTTCTTGAAATAAACTACAATATAAGGTGCACGTTAATTATTTTCAAATGAAAAATAATATTTTTTTAAAAAGCACACACATAGCTAGGCACAGTGGCTCACATCTACGATCCTAGCATTTTGGGAGGCCAAGGCAGGAGGATCACTTGAGCCCAGGAGTTCGAGACCAGCCTGGTCAACATAGTGAGAATCCCATCTCCACACACACACACACACAAAGTTAAATGAACTGGGTGCAGTGGCGCACACTTGTAGTCCCAGCTACTCAGAGGCTGAGGTGGGAGGATCACAAGCCCAAGAGTTCAAAGCTGCACTGAGCTACAATCATTCCAAAGCCATTTTAGCCTGGGCAATAGAGCAAGAAAAAAAAGAAAAGAAAAAAAAAATCAGGCAAGGTGGCTCATGTCTGTAATCCCAGGACTTTGTGAGGCCAAAGCAGGAAGATCACTTGAGTTCAGGAATTTGAGACCATCTGACCAACATGGCAAAACCCCGTCTCTATCAAAAATACAAAAATTAGCCAGGTGTGGTGGCACATGCCAGTAGTCCCAGCTACTCAGGAAGCTGAGGCATGAGAATCTTTTGAACCCAGGAGGCAGAGTTTGCAGTGAGCTGAGATCATACCACTACACTCCAGCCTGGGTGACACAGCAAGACTCAGTCTCAAAACAAAAGAAAACAAAAGGAGAGAAGCAGATTTCTTCTCGTGTGGAAGGAAGGAACTGGAGTAAGCCAAGGTTCCTTTATAATTCTCATCTATGCATGGAATCGCTACACAGGAGAAGAATGGACTCTGGAGCCAAACCACATAGATCCAAATTTTGGCTCTGCCACTTATTAGCTGTGTGGGCTTGGATGAGACATTTAACCCCTCTGTGCCTCAGTTTACCCATCTGTAAAATAATGTGATAATAGTAGCTACATTTATAGGGTTCTTGTAAGGACTAAGTGAGTTTATATATGATAGAGTATTTAAAACATTCCTGGAACACAGGAAGCACTATATAAGGGTTACCTATCATTATTACTAAACAAAGGATTTTTCAAAGGGGAGGCTTACCTAAGACAAATTTGCAGCTCTGCCTGGAAGAATCTTTCCATTGATCCTGGACTTGAACAGGCTGTCTGTGGAGAAAGACATCGAACCATGAATATCCCACCTCACCCCTGCAGCTTCCACCCCCCCTAGAAACCAAGAAGTGCTCACCTCTCTGAGCTTCTTGAAGACGAGCGGCATTCCGTGCCTGTGCCCTCTGTAGACATCAGCAAAGGTCCCCTGGCTGATTTTGTGGTTTTGATTGAAGTCATCAGTTGCCTGGACTACATCTGCCTCACTCCAGAAGAGGCTATCTCCAGCCAAGCTCAAAAGTTTTTCCTGTTTAGGAACGGAGGTGCTAAAGCCCTGGAGACTCAGAGAGAAGAGATGGAGTTGACTATGGAATCTGGTTTTCTCTGCTACCTCAAGGGATCTTGGAACACTAGAGCTGAAGGAGTGGAGGGGATCATCTTATCCAATGGAAACTGTAAAAAAGATCTGGATAGGCCCAAGCTCAAATCCCAGCTCCATCTCTGTCTTGCTCTGTGACTTTGGGTGAGTTACTTAACCTCTCTGAGCCTCAGTTTTTCTCCATAAGCTGAAATGAAGATAACAGTAATAGCCTGAAGAGCAATTATGAAGACTAAGATGTGAGTACTCTTAGCAAGTGGCTGGTGTTTCCTTTACTTCAGTTTACAGAAGTGAGCACCGAGGAAATAAACAGCTGACGTGAGGTCACACGGCAGGTCAGTGGGCGAGCTCAGTGCCCTTGGCCTGATCCACAGGATAGATACTGGGTTCCAGACTCCTGGGAACTAGGATACAAGTTCATATAACCAAACACGATTCTCTAAACCAGGAGTGTCCAATCTTTTGGCTTCCCTGGACCACACTGGAAGAAGAATTGTCTTGGGTCACACTAACACTAATGACAGTTGATGAGCTTTAAAAAAAAAATCTCAAAAAAAAAAAAAAAATCTCAAAAAAACTCATAATGTTTTAAGAAACTTTACAGATTTGTGTTGGGCCACATTCAAAGCCATCCTGGGCTGCACGCAGTCCATGGGCCAGGAGGTGGACAAGTTTGCTCTAAACAGAACTGCAGAGACTGCATATGTATATAAGCCTATACAAAGAAGTTCTGGGCTGGGCACAGTGGCTCACGCCTGTAATCCCAGCACTTTGGGAGGCCAAGGCAGGTGGATCATGAGGTCAGGAGCTGGAGACCAGCCTGGCCAACATGGTGAAACCCTGTCTCTACCAAAAATACAAAAACTAGCCAGGCATGGTGGTATGCACTTACAGTCCCAGCTACTGGAGAGGCTGAGGCAGGAGAATCACTTGAACCCGGGAGGCACAGGTTACAGGGAGCTGAGATAGCACCCCCATTGCACTCCAGCTCTGGGCGACAGCAAGACACCTCTCAGAAAAAAAATAAAATAATAAAAGAAGTTCTACTTCCCTTTTTAATAACTTCTCTCTTTAAACCAGATGTACTTAAATTTAATTTTTTTTTTTTTTTGAGACAGAGTTTCGCTCTTGTTACCCAGGCTGGGGTGCAATGGCGCGATCTCGGCTCACGGCAGCCTCTGCATCCTGGGTTCAAGCAATTCTCCTGCCTCAGCCTCCCGAGTAGATGGGACTACAGGCGTGCGTCACCATGCCCGGCTAATTTCTGTATTTTTAGTAGAGACGGGGTTTCACCATGTTGACCAGGATGGTCTTGATCTCTTGACCTCCTGATCCACCCACCTCGGCCTCCCAAAGTGCCGGGATTACAGGCTTGAGCCACCGCGCCCGGCCCAAATTTAAACTTTTTAAAGTTACATATGCTTTTAACAGTTTTTGAAAATTAGTATCCATAATCCTATTATCCACTTAACTGCTATTAAAATTTAGTGTATTTCTGGCCAATTAGATATACGAGGATTTATTTTTAAAAACTGGGATCATGCCACACACATAGTATTGATTTCTTTTTGAGACAGGGTCTCATTTTGACACCAAGGCTGGAATGCAGTGGCATGACGTCAGCTCACCACAGCCCTCCTGGGCTCAAGAGATCCTTTCATCTCAGCCTCCCCAAGTAGCTGGGACTACAGGCATGTGCCACCACGCCTGGATAATTTTTTAACTTTTTGGTAGAGGCCAGGCACAGTGGCTCACGCCTATAATCCTGCCATGGTGGGAAGCCAAGGCGGGTTGATTGTCTTCAGCCAGGAGTTCAATACCAGCCTTGCCAACGTGGTGAAACTCGTCTCTACTAAAAATACAAAAATTAGCCAGGCTTGGTGGTGCACACCTGTAATCCCAGCTACTGAGGAGGCTGAGGCAGGAGAATTGCTTAAACCAGGGAGGCGGAGGTTGCAGTGAGCCAAGATAGCCTGGGCTACAGAGGGAGACTCTGTCTCAAAAAAACCCTTTTTGGCCGGGTGTGGTGGCTCATGCCTATAATCTCGGCACTTGGGGAGGCTGAGGTGGGTGGATCACCTGAGTCCAGGAGTTCGAGGCCAGCCTGGCCAACATGGCAAAACCTCATCTCTACTAAAAATACAAAAATTAGCCAGGCGTGGTGGTATGCACTTGTGGTCCCACTAAAAGTACAAAAAAAATTAGCCGGGCGTACTGGCATGTGCCTGTAATCCCACCTACTCAGGAGGCTGAGGCAGGAGAATCACTTGAACCCGGGAGACGGAGGTTGCAGTGACCAAGATTGCGCCACTGCACTCCAGCCTGGTCAACAGAGCAAGACTCCTTCTCAAAAAAAAAAAAAAGCTTTTTTGTAGAGACAGAATCTCACACTGTTGCCCAGGTTGGCCTCAAACTCCTGGGCTCAAGTGATCCTCCCACCTCAACCTCCCAAAGTGCTGGGATTATCCTTCATGAAAGATGATCTATTTATTTTTTAGAGATAGGGCCTTTCTATGTTGCCTAGGCTGGTCTCCAAGTTCTGGACTCAAGTGATCCTCCCACCTCAACCTCCTGGGTAGCCAGGACTATAGGCATGTGACACCACACCTGGGACATGGAAGAGCTTCATTAACCACACTCATGCAAAGCTGGCTTCTCCCCCAGACACTGGATGCAAAGGGTCTCAGACTCACAACACTTTTAGGGGCCATGAAAACATTTTAATTTATTTTAAAATCAGAAGAAAATAAATGAACTTTTAGAGTCTAAGAAATGTTCTCATTTTAAATCCAGCTTGGATTTTAATTATCTTCATACCAATATGGTCATAAATTATTTTTACTTGTTTATTTATTTTTTGAGACAGGATCTCACTCTGTCACCCAGAGTGGAGTGTGGTGGCAGGATCACGGCTCACTGCAACTTCTGCCTCCTGGGCTGAAGCCATCCTCCACTTCAGCCTCCCAAGTAGCTGGGACCACAGGTCAAAAATAAAATAAAATAATGGCCAGGCGCAGTGGCTCACTGTAATCCCTGTAATCCCAGCACTTTGGGAGGCCGAGGCAGGCAGATCACTTGAGGTCAGGAATTTGAGACCAGGCTGTCCAACATGGTGAGACCCCATCTCTACTAAAAATACAAAAAAAATAACTGGGCGTGGTGGTGGGTGCCTGTAATCCCAGCTACTCGGGAGACTGAAGCAGGAGAATCCTGCCTCCTTGAACCCGAGAGGCGGAGGTTTCAGTAAGCCAAGATCATACCACTGCACTCCAGCCTGGGCAACAGAGTAAGACTCCATCTAAGAAAAATAATAATCATAAATTTAAAAGCAAAAGTGTACTCACTGAAGTGCCTTCCCTCCCTCTCCCCACTGTTATTGACCTCCTCTACTTACAGTCTTAGAAACTTGGGGTGATTTGGTGGTAATTTCCTTTCTCCTCCCCACCCTCAAACTGGTCTCAAGGATCAGACAAAGGGCTAATATCCAGAAATCTACAAAGAACTAAAGCAGTTGTACGAGAAAAAAGAAAACCCATTCAAAAGTGGGTGAAGGATATGAACAGACACTTTTCAAAAGAAGACATATATGAGGCCAACAATCATATGAAAAAATGCTCATCATCACTGGTCATTAGAGAAATGCAAATCAAAGCCACATCGAGATACCATCTCACGCCAGTTAGAATGGTGATCATTAAAAAATCTGGAGACAACAGATGCTGGAGAGGATGTGGAGAAACAGGAACACTTTTACACTGTTGGTGGGAGTGTAAATTAGTTCAACCATTATGGAAGGCAGTGTGGCGATTCCTCAAGGATCTAGAAATAGAAATTCCATTTCACCCGTCAATCCCATAACTGGGTATATACCCAAAGGATTATAAATCGTTCTATCATACATAAAGACACATGCACACGTATGTTCATTGCAGCACTGTTTGCAATAGCAAAGACCTGGAACCAACCCAAATGCCCATCAACGATAGACTGGACGAAAAAAAATGTGGCACATATACACCATGGAAGACTGTGCAGCCATAAAAAATGATGAGTTCTTTTTTTATGGTCCCTTTGTAGAGACAGGGATGAATCTAGAAACCATCATTCTCAGCCAACTGACACAAGAACAGGAAATCAAACACCACATGTTTTCACTCATAGGCAGGTGATGAACAATGAGAACACTTGGGCACAGGGAAGGGAACAATACTCACAGGGCTAGATGGGGGGTGGAGGGGAGGGACAGTGAGGGGGGCCAGAGAGGATGGGGAGGGATAACACCAGGAGAAATGCCTGATGTAGGCAACCGGGCAGGGGGTGGGAGGGATGGAGACAGCAAACCACCTGGCATGTATGTACCTAAGCAACAATCCTGCAGGATAAAGGATGTGCACATGTACCCCGGAGCCCAAATACAATTTAAAATTTTTTTAAAAAAGAGAAATTGCATTTTTAGAGGAAACCACACACTGGGAGCCATGGCTTGGAGGTAGCAGCCAAGGGGTGGATTTACCTGTGAATCAGATGAAGTGGGGAGGTTGGTTCTTAAGGAATGAGGAGCATCTTCTTCAAGAGGTTGGAGAAAGGCCTGCTGGTAGGCTCTGGCTGGAGAGGAACCTGGAAAGGAGGGACTGTGGGTCAGGACGCAGCCTAGAGGAGGAATAGAGGAGAGATCCTGGTCTAGTTCTCAGACCATGCCAATGTCCTGTTCACTCCTCAAACATTGATTGCTGCCAGTTCCCAACGCCCACCACGTGCTGGCCAACACTCTCCTCAAGGGTCACCTCAGGATAAGCCTCTGATCCCCCTATGACCTGGGGCCTATTTATCATCCCATTTGACAAGCGGAGACATGGAGGCACCAGAGGTGGATGCAGTGCTCAGGACCACCCAGTCAGTAGATGACAGCACTGAAATTCAAATGGAAATCTTTTTGACTTCTAGGCCCTGCACTATCTCACCCCCTTACAGAGCAGAGAAAGACACAGAGGTGAACTAGCTACCGAGACTGTCTTCCAGAAACCTCCACCAAGGCAGGGATTCAATAACCATTTCCCAGGATACCTCCCACAGGAAAGTGAGATCAGAGGCAGAGAGACCATAGCAGGCTGGGTTCACAGAGGAAGTGGTACCTGACCTGGGCTTGAAAGATGGAAAAATGTTTTCAACAAGTAGATATGGGGCAGTGGAACCAGCCCATGCACAGGTAGGGCAGTAGAAGGGCCCACCGCTGTAGTAAGTTAATGTCTAGGTACATTAATTAGCAAACACCATGCTAGGCACTGCTCTAAATACTTCATGTCTGTAATCCCAGTACTTTGGGAGGCCGAGGCAGGAGGATTGCTTCAGCCCAGGAGTTTGAGATCAGCTTGGGCAACATGACAAGATCCCGTTTCTACAAAAGATTTTTCTTAAATAGCCAGGTATGGCGGTGCACACCTGTGGTCCCCGCTACTTGGGAGGCTGAGGGTCACTTGTGCCCAGGAGGTCAAGGCTGTAGTGAGCCGTGATCACACCACTGCACTCCAGCCTAGGAGACAGAATGAGACCTTGTCTCAAAACAAAAAGCTTCACCTGCATTAACTTATCTAATCCACACACTGATCAGGAGATAAAGTACCACTGTACCATTTTCATTGCCTCTTTGCAGATGGTGAACTGAAGCATGGAGAGGTTAAGTAACTTCCAAGGGCACATAGTGGTTCCAGCGCCTGTTCTTAATCCCTTAGCAAGTGAACAAGAGTCACAAGACAGAAGGCTTGACAAGTAGTTTAGGGTCAGGTGAACATGAGGTTACAGAGGGTGAAATTTCTTCACTAGGCCCCACGTGGAATCCGAAGACTAAAGAGGCCATCAGCGGGGGTAGGGAGGGCTCCTGGGTGAGCGCAGATACAGGCTGCAGATGAGGTAAGCCATGGTGGCTGGTCCGCACAGAAGCAGGCCTTGGCCAGAGGTCAGATGCTTCAAATGTCACCATCTGGAAATACCCAGGGAGCCCCATGGCAAGGATAGCTTCTGAGTAACTGGGGACCTGACCCTTCCAAAGGAACCTGGTCTTGACCCCAGGATTGCTGGATAAATCTACCTGTTTCGGGTATTTCTGGCTTACAACGTCAGGAGAGGAGTGATTCACCTGGAACTTGGCTATTAAAAAATTTATTTTGGCCGAGCACAGTGTCTCACACCTGTAATTCCAGCACTTTGGGAGGCCAAGGCAGGCAGATCACCTGAGGTCAGTAGTTCGAGACCAGGCTGACCAACATGGAGAAACCCCACCTCTACTAAAAATACAAAATTAGCCAGGTGTGGTGGCAGGTGCCTGTAATCCCAGCTACTTGGGAAGCTGAGGCAGGAGAATCGCTTGAATCCGGGAGGCAGAGGTTGTAGTGAACTGAGATTGCGCCATTGCACTCCAGCCTGGGCAACAAGAGTAAAACTCCGTCTCAAAAAAAAAAAAATTTATTTTGGGCTGGGCATGGTGGCTTATGCCTGTAATCCCAGCAATTTGGGAGGCCGAGGCAGATGGATCACCTGAGGTCAGGAGTTCAAGACCAGCCTGGCCAACACGGTGAAACTCTGTCTCTACTAAAAATACAAAAATTAGCCAGGCATGGTGATGCATGCCTGTAGTCCCAGCTACTTGGGAGGCTGAGGCATGAGAATCACTTAAACCGGTAGGCAGAGGTTGCAGTGAGCCAAGATCATACCACTATACTCCAGCCTGGGCAATAGAGTGAGACTTGGAATTAAAAAAAAAAAAAAAAACTTGGCCAGGCATGGTGACTCACACCTGTAATCCAAGCACTTTGGGAGGCCAAGGCAGGTGGATCACAAGGTCAGGAGATGGAGACCATCCTGGCCAACATGTGAAACCCCGTCTCTACTAAAAATACAAAAAAAAATCAGCTGGGTGTGGTGGCGCACGCCTGTAGTCCCAGCTACTGGGGAGGCTGAGGCAGAAGAATTGCTTGAACCCAGGAGGTGGAGACTGCAGTGAGCCGAGATCATGCCACTGTACTACAGCCTGGGTAACAGTGCGAGACTCCATCTCAAACAAACAAAAAAATGTTCCCAAGACTGAAAATAAAATCAGCCTGGCTAAATGATAAACCCACACAGATAGCTGATAAAATGAAATCAATTGAGGGAAGGCCAAGGGCCTGTCTAGAGATTGCCTTCAGTCTCATTCCTGGGATCTTTGCTCTGCTGCTGTTCGAGTCTAGCAGGCAGGAGAATGTGAGCTGTAGACCCCCAGCTGCTGGTAGCCTGGCTGTCTGCAGCCCTAGCTATGGCTGGCTCCAGTCAATCCCTGCATCTACATCCCAATCATGCTTCCCAGGGGCTGCTCCCCAGGCACTGTGTGCAGAGGTGACACTCAGGCAGACCACACAGGACTGTGATGGACAACAGACACCCTGGAGAGTCTGCCTTACACCAAAGGCAGGCCAGCAAGTGCCCACCCACTCTTCCTCCAAAACAGCTCACCATGGTCCCAAGGCTCTCCCAGCTTTGCCCAGCTCCCTCTCCATTTTCTTGCAAGTATTCGTCCTAATGAAATCCTACCTGTTGAATCCTATTTTGGTGTCTGCCTCTCACCAAGAGGCAGACCTGGACTAATGCAGCCTTCTGCTGGACAGCACAGGGCCCCTGTCTTGCAGAAGGGCTGCTCTGTGACGGCCACCTCCACCCTTGCCCTTCCTTCTCTTGGCCTCAGCTCAGTACCCATGGCCCGCATCCCTCAGACTGCAGTTCTGTTCATCCATCTCCAAGTGTTTGGCCATATCTGTGGCATCTCACTATGAGTCACTTGATGGTTTTCTTTCAACCAACTTTAATTCCAGTGTTAGGTATTCAGCCTTGTGTTAAACAGTAATATCTATGAAGTCTCTAGTTCTTCTACACATGATCGATATTTGTGCTGACAGCCAGGTTCTGTGCACCACTGCAGGTGTGGGCCGCACACTCAGGGAACCGCTGCTCCAGACTAACTTGAGTTCCATCCTGCTGCCATGCCTGGCCACAGGGCAGGGCTCTCACTGCACACAGGGTCCTTCTGTGCCCAGTGAGTCTGAGGTCAGAGATTACCTCATATAAGTCATGAATTTCCTATCTGACTTACTGCCTGGGGTTTGCTCAGGAAGCTGCCCCAGGCCTCTCAGTTTGGGGGAATCCCTGAGGCCTGCTCTTGCGACACACGAGGGCTTCTAGTTGGGTTTATTCATCCCTGTGGTTTTAGGGAAAAGGAATGGAGTCTAGTCTGGAAAATCAGACAGGACCCAACAGCCATTATTCTCCATCTCTCCCTACCCACCCCTACCCTTCTCTGGGACCTAAACTGATTGGCCCTTTGTAGGAGAAATTCACAACCATAATCTTTAAAGGCCCCCATTATATGTCCAAGGGCAGACAAAGGAGAATAAGAAGGAATTCTCCTGTCATCAAGGATATGAAAATCTCCCTGGATTTAGTACATAGTAATCAGAAGTTGGCCATGGGTGGATCATTGCTGAAGCCAGCTGATGGGGACATGGAGGGTCATTAGGCTCTTGGTTTTTGTATGTCTGTAATTTTTTCATTTAAAAAATGTTTTAAAATAATGGCTAAGGTAGAGAAGGGAGATGGGGCAGGAGAGTAGATGAACAAGATGGGATACTTGGGTGATGGATGGGCCTTAGGGCTTCTGTGTAATCTTGTTTCCAAAACACTGAGAGTTAACCCTTCAAGTGCCAAGACTGAGCTAAAAAACAAACCATTTCCTATGGAAATCCTTCCAGAAGCTTTCCTTTTCTTGCTTTTCTTTTTTGTTCTGTTTTATTTGTTTTTGAGACAGTCTCACTCTGTTGCCCAGACTGGAGTGCAATGGCACCATCTTGGCTCACTGCAACCTCTGCCTCCAGGGTGCAAGTGATTCTCCTACCTCAGCCTCCCGAGTAGCTAGGACTACAGGCACCTGCCACCATGCCTGGCTAATTTTTGTATTTTTAGTAGAGATGGGGTTTCACCATACTGGCCAGGCTGGTCTTCGAACTCCTGACCTCGGTGATCAGCCTGCCGTGGCCTTTTTCTTGCTTTTCTACCCAGGCTAATACACCTGCTTTCTCAAGCAGAATGCACTACCTCTGGTCCCGCCGAGCTGTGTCACTGCAAGTACGAGAACTGCAGAAGCAGCAGTACTATATCTGACATGGGTCTTCTATGTCCTGCCCTGACGCTGGCAGCGGGTCTACTCCCAGCTGCCCCGTCTCCTTTATTAGTATCAGACAGAATTTGGCTCAAGCACTGGCTCCAGCATTACTCAAGATCTGACTTCAGATGAGCTGTGGCTCACTTCTCTGAGCTTTCTCAAATGTAAAAAGAACAAGAGCAATAACAGGCCAGACGTGGTGGTTCACATCTGTAATCTCAGCACTTTGGGAGGCTGAGGTGGTCAAAAGATAGAGAGCATCCTGGCCAACATGGCGAAACCCTGTCTCTACTAAAAATACAAAAATTAGCTGGGTGTGGTGGCGCATGCCTGTAGTCCCAGCTTCATGGGAGACTGTGGCAGGAGAATCGCTTGAAGCCGGGAGGCAGAGATTGAAGTAAACCAAGATCACACCATTGCACTCTAGTCTGGCAACAGAGTGAGACTCCACTTAAAAAAAAAAAAAAAAAAAAAAAAAAAAAAAAAAAGAGCAATAACAATCTGCTCCTTGTCCAGGTTAAAAGAGCTGATGTTTATAAAGCACAAAGGTCGGGCTGTGATACATGCAGTATTTGTTATTTTACCAAGGCTGGCGAAACTATGTGTAGAATAGGTAAACAGATTCTGACTGATAGCCCAGGGGCCTCTCCTACAGCTAAGGCTTTGTGATAGTTATTTCAGCTGCTCAAAACCCTTTTATCTTAATTCTAGCTCCGAGACTCCTTTGCTGCGGTGCTCATAGCCTGTCTGTGGCTCCTCTGCTCACATGTTTTCCTCCTCCATGTCTCTTCCCATTTCCTTCCCATATTGCAAGGGGGAGCCAGGGTATCACAGGGGTCAAGATGTGGGCTCAGCATCATCCACTCCTACCAAAACCCTTCAAGATAATTGATCAGTTTGAACTTTGGGGCTCAGTGGAACCTTGGGGTTTTCCCAAAAGAGACAAGCTTTGGGTGATTTGATGAAATGAACGATTTCTTATTTTCAATTTAGGCGAAGATAGATAATCAACTTCCTGTCTCTGTCTGCAGACTGTAGTTATCATCTTGACCTGCCTGGGCACATCTGTTCCAAGTGCCATCAAGAAAGCAAATACGGGCTGGATGCAGTGGTCCACGCCACAATCCTAGCACTTTGGGAGGCCAAAGTGGGTGGATTGCTTGAGCCCTTTCAAGACCAGACTTGGCAACATGGTGAAACTCATCTGTATAAAACAATACAAAAATTAGCCAGACATGGTGGTGCATGCCTATAGTCCCAGCTACTTGGAAAGCTGAGGCAGGAGGATCACTTGAACCCAGGAGGCAGAGGTTGCAATGAGCTGAGACTGTGGCACTGCACTCTAGCCTGAGTGACAGAGATTCTATCCCCCCACCAAAAAAGAAAGAAAGAAAATAAGGCTCTGTGCAGTACCTCATGCCTATAATCCCAACACTTTGGGAGGCCAAGGTGGGAGAATTGCTTGAGCCCAGGAGTTCGAGACCAGCCTGGGCAATATAATGAGATCCCATCTCTACAAAAATAAAAAAATATCTGGGCATGGTGGTGCACACCTGTAGTCCCAGCTACTTGGGACACTGAGGTGGAAGGATTGCTTCAGCCAGGGAAGTTGAGGCTAAGGTGAGCTATGATGATGCATGCCACTGTGATCTACCCCGGGCAACAGAGCAACGCCTATCTCAAAAAAAAGAAAAAAGGGAAGAAAGTAAACAGCAAAGGCTGACAGAGGCATGTGACGTTTATCTTTACAGTAACCTAGATAAGGAATATCAGAAGGAACTGCTATGCCTACTACCTCCTCCATCCTGACCAGCAGGCACCTACAATTCCTGCATTTTGTTATAATTTTCCCTTTGGTCAGGACCATTTCCCCTTATCTTTAATTGCGGATCAAAGGTCTACACTTAAAAAAAGAAAATCTTGAGCGTGGTGGCTCACGCCTATAATCCCAGCACTTTGGGAGGCTGAGGCGGGTGGATCACAAGGTCAAGAGATCGAGACCATCCTGGTCAACAAGGTGAAACCCCATCTCTACTAAAAATACAAAAATTAGCTGGGCATGGTGGCGCACGCCTGTAGTCCCAGCTACTCAGGAGGCTGAAGCAGGAGAATTGCTTGAACCCAGGAGGCGGAGGTTGCGGTGAGCCGGGATTGCACCACTGAACTCCAGCCTGGGTAACAACAGCGGAAACTCCGTCTAAAAAAAAAAAGAAAATATTTAGCTACAGGAAATAATCCAGACTCCTTGGCCTAGAATTAACTTTCTAGATTCAGCATATCTGGAGTGTCTGGAATGTTCATAAGATCAGATAATAATATTTAATGAGCACCTCCATGGTACAACACTCAGGGTAGGATTTCTCACAATCGAATGAAATAGGGTCTATTATTCTCCCCCTTTTACAAATGAATAAACTGAGGTGCAAAGGCTAGGTAATTCTTCTACAAAACAGCAGCATTGGGATTCAAATATGAGTCTGTCTAATACAAAAGCCCACAAAACAGTTTCCTCTCAGCTGATGCTGGCTTCAGGAATGGCAGCAGTGAACTGAGATTACGTGGATTTGGGGTCTCCAGCTTGCTACTCAGGAGGCCACAGGACAGAGGAAGTGAGGCTGGGCTCCAGGGGTGAGGCGGTAAGAATGGAGACTGGGCAGGGCAGCAGCTCCCCTGGGGAAGTCATCTGCTGGCTGAGCCATTCTGTCATTTGGAAACTGTCCCCAAGCCCTTGCCTGGGCACAAGAGGAGGGAGACAAATCTGAAGTGGCCCGAAAGGCTTTGGGATAGCAGTGAGTGCGACAGTTAGGGAGGTGAGTGTTCAAGTCACACAGCTCAGACACTATTTCCTATTTGTGTGACCTTAAGCAAACTGCTCTTCCTCTCTGGGCTTCAGCAGACCCGTGACTGATGGAGGGGAGGAAAGTGGTGGGCAGGAAGCACCCTTCAATTCCCCTCTGCATGGCTGCGAGGGCCAGGACCTAAGAAGGACAGAGAAATGGTCAGACATTCAGCCCAAAGCCTGCAGGAAGGGCCAACCTGTGCAGGGGGCTCGGGAGACCATGGGTGAAACACAGGGACCTGGCAGGACATGAGCTCAGCCCAGCTGTTTAATCTCTCTGTGCTTCAGTTTTCTCCTCTGTAAAATGGGCATAATCACAATACCTAATTCACAGTTAGTGAAGATTAAATGAGTCAATGTCTTTGAAGTACGGTACTTAGAATAGTGTCTGGCACTAGAAAGCCTTCATTACCGAGTCATTTCTCTTCTGCTCACAAAAATGGTAATAGGTGTCACATATGTTTTGTTACCTGATTTTTTCCACCTTTCCACCTCCCTCTATTTGAGTATGTTTCCATGTGCATACGCAAGTCCACAGCATTACTGACACACTTTATTGTGACTGTCTGACATTAATTTTGCCATCTGCCACTGCTGTTGCCAGATTTTTGCTTTCTTTAGGAACAGTCTCACTCTGTCACCCAGGCTGAAGCACAGCAGTGTGATCACAGCTCACCACAGACCTGTACTCCTGGGCTGAAGCAATCTCCCTACCTCAGCCTCCAGAAGAGCTGGGACTGCAGGTACATGCCACCGTGCCTGGATAATTTTTTTTTAATGTTTTGTCTCACCAGGTTGACTAGGCTGGTCTCAAACTCCTGGGATCAAGCCATCCTCCCATCTCAGCCTCACAAAAAGCTGGGATTACAGGCAAGAGACACCATGCCCAGCCTCAATTTTTTGCTCTTATATGCTAAGCTGAATATCTTTATAAATATGTCTTCATTTCCTCAAATAAATTTGCTTTAAGTAAAAAAGTTGAATCAAATTTAAAATACCTGGGCCCGGAAAGGTGGCTTTCCTCACAGGCTGCCCCTCTTCCTGTTCATCCTCAGCCTTTCTTACAGAAGTTGCCAAAGGCCTTTCTGGATTCACAGAGTCTGGGAAGGCTGGAATGGGACACCTGATTTCAGGAACCGGTTTCCCTGAAAACAAGGTGGAAAGAACGTTATTACTATTCCATGAAGTGGGGTAGCCATTGAGAGACTGCATCTGCAAGTCAGAGACCTGGGTTCTAATTCTGGCTCTGCCACAAATGCATGGTGTTACAGGGCAGGAGGGTCTTTTCCTCTCTGGCCTTGGCCTCCCCATCCGTAAAATGTGGTGGCTCAGGTGCACTGGCTCACACCTGTAATCCCAGCACTCTGGGAGGCTGAGATGGGTGGATCACCTGAGGTCAGAAGTTCGAGACCAGCCTGGCCAACATGGTGAAACCCCCGTCTCTACCAAAAATACAAAAATTAGCCAGGCGTGGTGGCAGGTGCCTATAATCCCAGCTACTTGGGAGGCTGAGGTAGGAGAATCACTTGAACCCAGGAGGCAGAGGTTGCAGTAAGCCGAGATCGCACCACTGCACTCCAGCCTGGGCAACAGAGCGAGACTCCATCTAAAAAAAAAAAAAAAAAAAAAAAAGGCCATGGCTGCACACTGCAGTCCCAGCGAGGGCAGAGCTCTGATGTGCTGAGCCACACACCTGCTTCCCACCCAGCCGGCTGTGTGGCCTCCAAAAAGTCACCATCCTCCTCTGAGTCTTCCTTTCCTTACCTATAAAATGAAGGTAATGATAATGGTGTCCGCTTGCCTCCCCCTGGGTTGTTGTGAGGGGAAAGGAGGGTAGAGATGGGGAAGGGCGCTGTAGACTGCATATTTCCCTGAACATGTGAGCAGGTCAAAGAAACCATCCCACTAAGTCCCCACTCCAGCCCCTAGGGATAAAAGTTCTGGCTGTCTTACAGCCTCCCTTCCACGCGGTAGAGTCACATGTATCCTTCCCTCTTGCATGGATGGGAATCCCAAAAACAGCAGCCATGGCCACTGAGGACGGGCTGCATGGGGCCCAGGCCCAGCTGCACAGACATGAATCCTCACACTATCTCTGCATCTCATCTCTGTTCTGAGATGAGGAAACTGAGGCCTGAGCAGGTTAAATGACTTGCTAAGATCACATGGCCAAAGGCAGGCAGGAATGGCTGAAGAAGTCTCCTGACTTCTCAAGAGTAATCATTTCCTCTTTACATCAACTTGGGAAACCCCAAAGGTGCTTGAGGGTGTGTTAACCTCAGCTTCCAGCCAGCTTTTCAGAGCTGCTCTGTGGAACAGCTTCCTCTCCCCTCCTCCACTGGGCCCTGATCTTATCCCTTCCGGCTAGGCCCAGCTGCCAGCTCAGGCAGCCTCCACACCCTTGTCAGCCTGCCTCTTACTAAAGTACACATCTGGCCTCATCACTTCCCTGCTTGAAGTCTTTATGGGGCTCTCCACTGCCTAGATAAAGTCCACACTCTTTAGCCTGAATCCCCATTGCCTCCCAGATAAAACCCAATCCTATAGCCCTGCAATCAAGGCCCTCACTCTCTGGTGGTTTGGGATAGACTCATGTTTGAGAATGACAAAAACTGGGGCACTGAAGTCCCAGGGAAGGCTGTGACTCGCTCGATGTCACACAGAGCACAACAGAAAGCATGACACAGGGGATGTCACACAGACATCCCAGATAGGGCTGGGACAAAACATCTCCAGCTCCAGCGGCATTTCTCTGAACTGGTGAATTGCGCCTCTCTGAACAAAACCAATTGTTACCCGGGACTTCGCTTTTCAAACCCAAGCGTTTGGGCTAAAACAATAAGACTTAAATTTGCATAGCACCACACTGGTATGGCACCATGCAGATTTATGTAATTTTCACAACAATCTCTGGTCATTCATAGGATTATCTGCATTTTATTTTTCAGCATATTGGGGCTCAGGTAAGTGAAATGATTTGTGTCAAGTAAAACAGCCAATAACAGTCAAACCTGGGACTGGTTTCACTGTCTTCCCACCCAGCCAGGGCAGAACTACCGAAACCACTGCCATCACTGCCACCACCAGCCTGAATACCCCCAAAGGCAGATGCCCAAATCCCTGGACAAACAGGAACAAAGGGGTGATCACGGACTTCCCCAGGATGAGAGGAGCTGGGGAGACATCAGGAATGAACAAAAATAACAACCAGTCTGAATCACAAGGGGTGAGAGTGGCTTCTTCCTTGTGTTTTCTTTACTGTCACTGACATTTTAAATACACTTTGTTTCTTTTTAAAAAGAAACTATAGGGTCTCGCCATACAGTGCAGGCTGGTCTTGACCTCCTGAGTTTAAGGGAATCCACCTCAGCCTTTGAGTAGCTGGGACTACAGGCATAATTAAGCCTATCTTATAAAAGCAGCAGTAGGGATTAGCTATTTAGAGTTAAAGCTCTGGAATGGAAGCTAGCTCCATCACTTCTCAGCTGTGGTTACTTTGGCCAACTTTTATGAAGACTAATGGAGACACTGCTTAGCTCAAAATATGAGACCTTTATTACTGTGGTGGTTATAGTCTTAAAATATTGGTTATCTCTTAAATAGTTCACATATTGATTATAAGAAGAGTAGGACGGGAGTTAGTTATCTTTTTCTTTTTCCTTTTTTTGAGACAGTCTCACACTGTCGCCCTGTGCTGGAGTGCAGTGGCGCAATCTCGGCTCACTGCAACCTCTGCCTCCCAGGCTCAAGTGATTCTCCTGCCTCAGCCTCCCAAGTAGCTGGGAATCACAGGCATGCACTACCATGCCCAGCTAATTTTTTTTTTTTTTTTTTTTTTTTAGTAGAGATGAAGTTTTACCATGTTGGCCAGGCTGGTCTTGAACTCCTGATCTCAAGTGATCCACCTGCCTCAGCCTCCCAAAGTGCTGAGATTACAGGCGTGAGACACTGCACCTGGCCTGATTTTATATTGTGAGGTTTTTCTCCTTGTGATGTATTTATATCATAGAATTTTTCAACGAAATGATTATGCATTATTTGCACAGTAAATTATACTTCTTTAAAAGAAAAATCAGTTAGCAAGCTAGCTAAAATAATGACTAGAACTTCCAAGCTAATATGAATAGCGTTTGCCCTGGGGACCCCTCTGGCTCCAGTGAGCTTACAATGAATCAGCCCTTCGTGAGATTCAGATCCACCTCACTTCTGTTTTTCACCAACAACTGTCCACGTCATGTACTGATACGTTCACTTCAAGTATCCTCCCCATAGCCTGGGAGATCTCAAGTCAGGAAGCTGAGGCTCTGTGGGGAACAAGACCTGCTCAAGGGAGATAGGAAGGCAGGCAGCACTGAGGCAGGAAAGCGAGGTCTCCTCCCAGAACCAGGGACAGAGCGGGACACAGAGAATACGCACTTCTCTCCCAAGTAGGACTCCACAGGCACTTCGTTGGTTCGACAGGCCACGCCCCCATCCTCGACTGCCATCAGGCCGAGGCCTCAGTGGCTGAAACTTGAAGTTTAGAAAACAGTTTCTCTCCAACAAAGGGCTTGCCTGTAGGAATCACCGTCCACCCCATGGCATCCCACTGCCTTCCACAGGCCCAGGAGGACAATAAACAGTCCCCAGGCCAGGCTTGGTGGCTCACACCTATAATCCCTGCACTTTGGGAGGCTGAGGTGGGCCGATCACCTGAGGTCAGGAGTTCAAAACCAGCCTGGCCAACATGACGAAACCCCATCTCTCCTAAAAATCCAAAAATTAGCTGGGCATGGTGGCACATGCCTGTAGTCCCAGCTAGCTACTCAGGAGGCTGAGGCAGCAGAATCGCTTGAATACAGGAGGTTCAAGAGTTTTCAGTGCACCAAGATCATGCCACTACACTCCAGCCTGGGCAACAGAGCAAGACTGTCTCAAAAAACAAACAAAAAACCAGTCCCTTGTACAGAATGACAATGAACAATGTCGGGGTGCTGATTCAAGCACAGGTCTGGAATAGAGCTGTCGCTCCCAGGGTGCACACAAGTGAAAGCTCTGCCTGTGCCCCCTGGGAAGGCCGCCCCCTGCCACTCCCAGTTCTCGTCTTTCCCAGCCTCCCCTCTCTCCCTCCGCCCTTCCTCCTCAAACCACACCTCAGGTGAAACCCATCTTCCTAGAAAAGTCGTTTCATCCTCTTGACATCTGTGTCAAAAGGGCAGCAGTGGCTCCCCTGGCTCAGGGCCAGCTGGGCTCACTGGTGAAGTCACTTCTCAACAGGGACGTCCTGCAGAGGCCAAGCTTGCAACGATATAAAATCCTCTCTAAAGATATCACCGACACCCAGAACTGCTCATGACTCAAGCAAATGAGGTACCTTCTCTTTATCTGAGGCCTAGCTGAGCCTCATTGGTCTCATCAGTAAAATGGGGATGAGGGTGATACTCACAGCCATACTTGATTTCAGTGTCCTGTTCCTTTTTCTTTTTTTTTTTTTTTTGGAGACAGGGTCTTGCTCTGTCACCCAGGCTGGAGTACAGTGGTGTGATCACAGCTCTCTGTGGTCTCAAACTCCTGAGCTCAAGCTATCCTCCTTACTTAGCCTCTCACGAAGCTGGGATTACAGGCATCCACTACCAAGCCCGGCTAATTTTTAATTTTTTGTAGAGACAGCATTTCACTATGTTACCTAGGCTGGTCTCAAACTCCTAGGCCCAAGTGATCCTCCTACCCTGTCCTCCCAAAGTGCTGGGAGTACAGGCATGAGCCACTGCACCCGGCCCAGTGTCCTATTCAGGATGAGGTTTCGTTCAGCACAAATCTTTGCCTGTCAAAACACGTTTGGTAGGAACATCAAGGCCACCAACCCATCTGTGGCCGACCTCTGTGGGCTCCACCCATTGGGAAGAGTAAGAGTGTCATTATGTTTTCATCCTAAAGAGAGTCCAGCTTTTCTCTTTCTTTTTCTCGTTCTTTCTTCAGTGACATGCGGTAGCCCCACCTGGTACTGCAGGGGACTTGGAAGTGGGCAGGAATGGGGAGCAGATGGGGAGGGGCAGTGTCAGCACATTTGGGGCTGATGCCCACTCTGTCACGCAAAGCACTGGGTCGCAGCAGCATGGATGTAAGCTAACAGAGCCCCATGTCAGCCCCAACAAGAAGTTCTGGT